TTCGAGGCGAAAAGGTCTCTCTCTCTCTCTCTCTCTCTCTCTCTCTCCTTAAGAAGCTTCCGGGGCCAATACCCCTCCTCCTAAAACCAAATCTCCTTCAATCCCCCCTTTTGGCGCAACGTGGGCTCAAATCCCTGGCTCCTCCAAGGCTTTGAGGATTGCGGTGTGGCTCTTGCCACCTGGATCGAAGTACCGAGTTCGGGCTGCAAGAGTTTTCTAGCGGTTTGCGCCGGTCCCGGGTGTGGGGGTTGTGGTCATGTTGCAGAAGAACGACTGCCTTTGGCGAATGACACACCTCTGCAACAGAGATCGCCAAACCGCCGAGCGCTGAAGCTATTAAGGACCTAAGCGCAACCGAGAAGCTGTTCATCACGTCTGGGCGTGTGGCAAGCTTCATGAGCTGATCCTCTGCGATTTGGCTCTGACAGGCTGAGAAATGTTTAGGGTTTCGACTCTCACGCTCGCACGAGGCAGGCAAGGCTTCAGAAGTTCACGGCAGAAGCTTTAGGCGGCGCTGCTGACTCTCAGTCCCTGAACGCCCAAGCTCACAGCTAACTTCTGAATCCGCCCCTTTGCCACCCCATAACTCGGGCTTAACCCTACACCCTAAACCCTCAACCCTAAACCCTAATTAAGCCCTAAACCCTAACTTGGACCTGGCCCGGGTCCTTTAAGCCTGCCTTCTCCGCCCTGGCGGCCACTGTCGGGGGAAGTTCCACAGTAGGCACCTCTTGGGAGTGCGTGGCCCGGTAGCGGGAGGGGCTTTAGGGTTTAGGGTTTAGGGTATAGGGTTTAGGGTTTAGGGTTTACGGTTTAGGGTTTAGGCTTTCGGGGCTTTAGGGTTTATAGGCGTTTAGGGCTTAGGGTTTAGGGGCTTTAGGGTTTATCGGCGTTTGGGTTTGGGGTTTAGGGTTTAGGGTTTAGGGTTTAGGGGCTTTAGGGTTTATAGGCATTTAGGGTTTGGGGTTTAGGGTTTAGGGTATAGGGTTTAGGGCTTTAGGGTTTGTAGGCGTTTGGGGTTTAGGGCGTGGGGTTTAGAGTTTAGGGTTTAGGGTTTAGGGTTTGGGGTGGGCGTGGCATATAGAGGTTTAGGGGTGGAGGGGTTCAAGGATTTAAGGGTTCAGGGTTTCTAGGATTCAGGGTATGTCATAGTACATAAGCCCTACACTGTGAAAGGCCTAAGTTTTGGGGAGTTAGTTGGCTTGGCTGTGCTTCGAGAATGGCTGCACAAACACACCAGAACCCGACAAGTTGCCTGTCAGCTCTCTTTCACCCAACGAGCCCTTGACACCTCTTAATTAAGGAGCAGCGCACCTCAACTCATCCCTAAACCCTAAACCCTAAACCCCAGAAACCCTAAACCCTCAACCCTAGAAACCCCAAACCCATAGTTCTTAATTAAGGGTTTTTGGGGCTTTAGCACTCATTCAGTCAGACTTTGGGGCCTCGGGAGTCGGCTTGCCGCTGGCCTGGACGGCGAGGCTTTCGGGTTTAGGGGTTAGAGTTTGGCCGGAGAATTAAAATAGGATGATTTTGCTTTTTTTGGGAGTTTTTTTGTTTTTTGCTTTAGGGTTTAGGGTTTAGGGTTTAGGGTTTAGGGCTTAGGGTTTAGGGATTAGGGTTTAGGTTTTAGGGTTTAGGGTTTTTTAGGGTTTAGGGTTTGGGGTTTAGGGCTTTTTAGGGTTTGGGGTTTAGGGTTTTTTTAGGGTTTTTTAGGGTTTAGTGTTTGGGGTTTTTTAGGGTGTTTTAGGGTTTAGGGTTTAGGGCTTTTTTAGGGTTTTTTCGGGTGTAGAGTTTAGGGTGTAGAGTTTAGGGTTTAGGGTTTAGGGTTTAGGGTTTAGGGTTTAGGGTTTAGGGTTTAGGGTTTAGGGTTTAGTTTTTTTTTTATGGTTTTTTAGGGTGTAGGGTGTAGGGTGTAGGGTGTAGGGTGTAGGGTGTAGGGTGTAGGGTGTAGGGTTTAGGGTTTAGGGGTTAGGGTTTAGGGTTTAGGGTTTAGGTTAGGGTTTAGGGTTTTAGGGTTTAGGGTTTAGGGTTAGGGTTTAGGGTTACCAATAGCAAGGAAAAAAAAAAAAAAAAAAAAAAAACAAAAAAACAACAAAAAAAAACCTTAAAAAAATAGACCTCCTTAGAGTTTAGGGTTTAGGGTTAAGGGTGCAGGGTTTAGGGTTTACTTGCAGTTTCATCTGGGTTAGTTACCAGAACCCCTCCAAGTAGGACCGATGCATTCCCACAGGGGTTGAGGGTTTCGGGTTTAGGGTCACACGTTGAGAGCGACTATGACACATCGTGGGATGTTCCCCCGTGCACTAACCGTCCTTAACAGGGTTTACAGGACCTCCCTAATATAATCCCCATTGCGGGGCTGTTAGTATAACAGGGAACATCCCAAGCACTCCTTCCAATGGCTTGGGGCTTGGGGTCATCGAGCCTGGAATCGACAGCCCAGAGCCAGTCCAACCACACGGAACCCTCAACTCGAACGCCTCACCGGCCCTAGTTTAGGGGCTTGGGGCCTTCGGGGTTTAGGGTTTAGGGTTTAGGGTTTAGGGTTTAGGGTTTAGGGTTTAGGGTTTAGGGTTTAGGGTTGCGGGGCTTAGGGTTTAGGGTTGCAGGGTTTAGGTCTCCTGCCCCTGCCCTGCCTTGCTCTTGGGTGCTGCCTTGGCTTTCGGCGCTTTGCCGCCCTTGGCCTGCTTCTCTGCCGCCTTCTTCTCCTCTACAGTCGGGGAGCCCAGGAACAAACTGGTTTAGGGTTTAGGGATATTTTTTCCACACGACTAGCCACAGCAATGCGGGGTAAAAGTTCGGAGGAGTGGGTTTAGGGTTTAGGGCTTAGGGTTTAGGGTTTTTTGCCACCCGCCAAGCAGTCCAGCCGCACTGCAGGGTAACATTTCGGGACAGGGTTTAGGGTTTAGGGTTGAGGGTTTAGGGTTGAGGGTTTAGGGCTTCGGGCTTAGGGCTTCGGGCTTCTACGAGGAGTGGAGCTTGCAAGATTCCTTTCTTGCGAGATGTTGGGCTCTCCTTGGCGTGCGCTTTGTCGGCCTGCTTTGCCCGCTCGGCCGCTTCCTTCTGCTCCGGGGACAGCCGCGCCTTTTTGGCCTGGGCCGCGCACGGGAAGAGGGCGAAGCCCTAAACCCTAAACCCTAAACCCTAAACCCCAAACCCTAAACCCTAAACCCTAAACCCTAAACCCTACTCTCCTAGCCAGGCATGTGGGGTCAGGGGTCTACTCGGTTCGGGGTTTTCGGACTTCTGGGGTTTCGAAAAAGAATACGCAACCGAACAGGGGTTTAGGGTCTAGGCATTCGGCTTTACTGTTCAGGGTTCGGGGTATAGGGTTTAGGGTACCAAAAAAAGCAAAACGTGCGTACTGCCTGAGGTCTTAGCCACCGGCTTCTCGGCCTCGTCATCGGCACTGGGAAGTGGCACGTAGGACTTCATGGCCTCTTCGTACTCGGCCTTCTTTGCCTCGTAGTCCGCTTGGTAGATCTTCTTCTCGTCCTCGCTGAGAGCCTTCCACCTGTCGGAAGCCAGCTTGGTGACGGCCGTCACTGGCTGGCCTTTACACTCTTCGGTGAAAGCTGCCCGGTTCTTGGAAAGGAAGCAGCCGAAGGCACCACCCGCAGGTTTCTTTGGCGCGGCCGGATCCTTCTTGGGCTTCGAGGACTTCTCTGCCTTCCTCTTGGTGCTCTTCTTCTCGCCGCCTGCTTCGAGGAACGCGGCCATATCTGCCTCGTACTTGACCTTGGCTGCCTCGAACTTCTTTTGGTACACGGCCTTAGTGTCCTCGCTGAGGGTCTTGTAGCGGGCTCCGGCGAGCTTGGCAACCTCGGATGCCGGCTTCCCTGGACCCACCTCCTTCTGCAACTCCGCCCGGTGCTCCGCCAGCCAGCAGCCATAAGCTCCGCCCGCCGGCTTCTTGGGTTGCTCAGCCATGGCTGGAAGGAAGTGGGGCAAAGTCAATAACTGGAGTGGGCACACCTGCCTTGACCGCCAAAAGCCCAAATGAAGTCGGAGGGGTTCAGTATTCGCACCCGTGCATTCAACCACAGTGTTGTGTTAACAAAGACGCTGTATGTTTGGGGCACGCTCAGGACCCCGTTTGTGATGAGTTGCTTTGGGTGGAGGTCACACCCATCCTCGTCAACATGTCACGATGCTGCCTGAGGGGGAAGCTGCCTTCAGCAGCTCGGATAACCAACCAACACTGCACAAAATTTGCCACTGCTTCCGAAGGATGCAAGCTGGCACTGCAACAAAGCAGATGCCCAGCTATTTCACAGCGCTGTCACGCCTTCTAGTGCTCGGGCTTTCGAAAGAACAAACAGTGCCGCCGAACGTCTTCTTATTGGATCGGTCTTGATTGTGAAGCGAAGAAGGCAATGGCAAGCACTGTTTGTGAAGTGTGCGTGTTTTGGTCGGCATTTAACATGAGTACGATAAGGACTATGATGGGAAAATGTTGGCAATTCATCTTATGCAGAGGGTATTAACAGGCACAAGGGGAGACCCCTACTTGGAGGTTCATGGTACTTGCTAACCAATTCTAGTTACTGTACTTATAACCGCATTAGGGCACTTAAGGGGCTTAAAAGTGAGTTATAAGTACAGTTATAATTGGTTCGTAAGTACCATGAACCTCCAAGTAGAAGGGACGCTCAATCCTATTCCCCTAACAATACCCATAGATAACCTCTACATATATCTTATAAAGTCCCTAGATGCCTAAGTAGCCTCTTGAGAACCCCTAGATAACCCCCAAGGTGCCTTACAAGGGTCCCTCCTTTCCTTTGAGAGTAGTCGCTAAACCCTAAACCCTAAACCCTAAACCCTAAACCCTAAACGCTAAACCCTAAACCCTAAACCCTTTTTCTGTGCTCATCTTTGGGCATCTCTTCGCTCGGGGCTGGGCTTCTGCGCAGCTGCTGCGAGTCGGTTTTCGTCCTGCGCACCTCTGCCAAAACAAACTGCACTGCGAAGTCTATACCTTGGGATAGTCTCTCTTATACTGACAGTCCCTAATAAGGACTGTTCGTCCAACATATACTGCATGCTCTGAAAACCGAGGCTAGGCTTTGTCGATGTCCACCATTTCCAGGTGGAAGATCACATGCTCATCGGCTCGAATTCCCGACGGGCGCCCCTGCAAGTACTTCGGGTGTGGAAGGGAAGGTTCAGGGCCATTTCCAGACCTTCCGGGGGGCGGCTTTTGTTTGGGGGGGAGGGCTCATCTCTCTTTTGGATGAGAATCGACCTTTAGCCTTTTTGCATCAGAACTTGTGCAATCGCCCGAAGGTTTGAGCAGACGGACGCTCAGTGCTGGTTATGCCTTCTTTCTGACCCCGCGAGCTCTGCCGGTTTCCGCTGGTTTAATCCTCTCAAACCCAATACGGGAAAATATATAAAAGCTCCTAAGGGTATGCGTCCACTTTTTGTGCAGTTCTAAGCAGGGTTCTAAGTAGGGTAACTCTACTTCTAAACCTGTGTGTGTAAGGGTTGTTCTAAGCAGTGTAACCATACTTATAACCCTATGTAAGGTGCTTATGATATCCCTACGTATAACTACCCCAAAATGAACCTCCTGAAGTAGACCCCACTTCAAAGCGGCATGATGGGCCCTTGGGGCAAACGGCGCCTTCTTGTCGAATCCGAGCTTGGGCGGGACGGTAGCCTCCGGGGCATTCCTTCCCCTTTCGCCCTCAGGGGCTTTTGGGATCTAGGGGTTAGGGTTGAGGGTTAGGGTTTAGGGTTTAGGGTTTAGGGTTTGGGGTTTAGGGGGGTTTTGAAGGCTCCAGGGGACAAAAACCTAAACCCTAAGCCCCTGAGGCCTTTTCAGGTTTTTAGGTTTTACGCGTGCCCGCACTTGGGCTTTAGGTTTGTAGGGTACCCTGAACTCCATGTCTTTCGGGGCTTTGATTTCTTTAGGGTTTTGGGTTTCGGGTTCGGCCCATCCCTCTATCTTCTCCGCGTAGGTGTTGCAAGCCCACACGGGTTCCAGGTTTGAAGGGCTTTAAGGGCTTTTAAGGGTTTAGGGTCCTAAGGGTCCAAGGATTTGAGGGGTTTGAGGTTAATATATCCCCCCCAGCCCTTCATGCCGACAGATTCTTTCCGGAGACCCTGAGGGACTATGCCTTGAATCGCACCTAGGGATCCGACCTTTGGTTTAGGGTCCGAGCATGATTTAAGGATTTCGCTCCAATATCCTATGTTTAGGGAATGGTCCTTAGTCGGGATCTTAGTATGATGTTTTAGGACCCTTCCTCAACAAAACGCTGCTGGAAGTCCGGGGAACGAATGTTATAAGACAGAAGGCCCTGAACCCTAAACCCAAACGCTGAAGGCCCTTAACCCTTTTGCATCCGGGCTCTTGCCCAAACCTTAAACCCCACACCCTCCTACTTGTAACGGTTTAGGGTTTAGGGTTTAGGGTTTAGGGTTTAGGGTTTAGGGTTTAGGGTTTAGGGTTTAGGGTTTCGGGTTCTCGCTGGGCTCGCGGCTTTCCGCTTCTCCCCCGCGCACATGCCAAGCCTCCCGCCGAAGAATTTGGGGATCCAGGCTCCTTTTGCCCTTGTGAGAGGCCCCCGATACCACCTTCTAACAAGGAGGGTTCCTCGCTGTGGTTTTTAAGGTTTTGTTCCTGAATTCCGGGATATTGGGCTCTCTGCTCCCAAAGCCATCGCCTCAAAGCTGAAAGCTGAAGATCATGTGGCGTTTCGGAAACTGGAGAGCACTCTGATAGTAACCTCTCGCTCCCTCTCTCTCTCTCTCTCTCCCCCTCTCTCCCCTGTCACAAGAAGGCCAGACAGGGGCGAAGCAGAAATCCAGAACTTCAGACTTCATCCAAGGCCGTTCCGTAGAGGGGGGGGGAATGCCTGGAAGAGGTCAGACTGGGGAAGGAAATGACTGGGATGCAACGACATGGGCCTCGGAAACCGACCAGGAAAGCATCCAAAGCCATGGCCACACCAAGGATGGGTTAAATCGCAAGAAATAAGGAGGCGCAGCCACAAAAAAACCGAGCCCCTGCCCCTAGCAAACCTGGGAGCCCTGCAACCCGATGGCCAAACGCGCCATGTAGCCTCTCTGGGCCCTTCCACCACCCCATTCACGTCCCAACCTAAACCTTCAGAGATCCCTGCGCCCCAGGCCAATCAAGGGATAAGTCCCCTTGATATACTCCTAAAATGGCCCTGATACTCCCATAGGGCTCCTATATATATATATATATATATGATATTTGATATATGATATATACCCCCAAAACCCAAGATTGGCACCTTATATATATATATATATATATGATATATTTGATATAGGATATATACCCCCAAAACCCAAGATTGGCACCTGAAGGGTCCAAGGTAGAACCCCTATGGAGCCCAGGCAGCCGAGGTTCAGGGCGGTCTGAAAGCCTTTCATGCACTCGGGCTTCGCGTGGTCTTTGCACTTGCCCAGCTTCAAAACATACCTTGCTTGGAGGTTCATGTGGGTAGGTATCAGGCCAGACTAACCCTATGTAAGGTACTTACAACCCTATTTTAAGGTACTTACAACCGTTATAGCCCCCACTTCTAGCTACCCACCCATAAACCTAAACCCTCAACCCTGAACCCTCATCCCACTAAGGGTTATCATATTCGGGGGGGACGAGTGATTAGGTAGACCCTGAAGATGCTCCAAGAGGTACCCAGGGGCCCAATATCCCTTAATTCAGGAATATACCCTAAATCATACTAAGGATCCCCGTTCAAGGTCCTGGGCCCTTCGACCCAAGACCTCAAACTCAGGAACCCTGAACCCTAAACCCTTTTGGAAACCCTTCTCGAATCAACCCAGAATCACCTTACTTCGTGTAAACCTTAAGAAGGATACCTAGGCTGTCAAGCTGAGGGGTTCCCCGCCGTCCAACAGCCGGAACCCGGTATTGGGACCCTCAGTGTGAGCCAAGGCATTCTGAAAAAAAGGAAAACATAAACCCGAAACCTACTATGCAATTTCTATAAACATCCTCTCAGCTCGATCGCAAGAACCTGGGTCTAGGGTTTAGGGCAAAGTGCAGGGTTTAGGGTCGCATGATCCGTAGCGGAAAATGGCATGAAGAAAATACGAGTCCAGGGCTTTGGAGGCTTTGAAACACCAAGCTCCGAAATCCCGCCAACGACTAGCAGCGGAGGAACGGGTCGCCGCCCCTCGTGGTCTCAAACTGCGTCCCCTCCTTCTTCAAGAAGCCTGAGGAACCCCCCAAACCCTAAACCCTAAACCCCAAACCCTGATTCAAGGGGTTTGGGCTCCTCGGGAAGGTGGTTGCAAGCACTATCGAGCCCTGTGCACGATCTCAGGCCCAACAAAACCGGGAGCCCGGACTGCGAACGCTCTCAACTTTGGGTATTGGATGCTTCTTCATTCAGGTTCTGTTGCCACCCGCCGAGCAAACCAGCCACACTGTTTAGGGTTTAGAGTTTAGCGTTTAGGGTTTAGGGTTTCCCTACTTACGAGGGTAGCAAGTAGCCCGACCCATACCCAGAGGTTCCAATGCGGAATACCCCTTAAACCATATAAGGAACCCTTCTTACATGTTCAGGGATACGCCTGAATTAAGAGGAAGTGGAGTTGTTGGGCAAACTCCCTCCCCGAAGAACACCCTGAACCCAGAACCCAGAACCCAGAACCCAGAACCCTAAACCCTAAACCCTAAACCATAAACCCTAAACCCTAAACCCTAATCCCTAAACCCTAAACCCTGGATGGCAGCCCCAGAAGCTGGTGTAGTGGACGTGGACCAAGTCCCCATCGCCTGGGCTGGGGGGGGGAGGGGGAGGGGGTGGGAGGGCCGGGGAAGAGTCAAGGGTTTAAGGTTTAAGGTTTAAGGTTTAAGGCTTAAGGTTTAAGGTTTAGAATTTTGGGTTTAGGGCTGCTACTTAGCAATTCAGGGGTGGTTGAGAAGAAGCTTTCTCAGTCTGGTAACTCTACTCATAACCCTCGGCCCCTCGACACGGATGTCGCGCCTGCTTGCAGGAAGCACTCCTCTGGCTTGTGGGTGACCTTCATGTCGACGGCCTCGCGCAGGGGTTCTGCTTCGAGGTTCATTTGTAGTGCTAAGAAGGGTTGTAAGCAGGGCATCTCTACTTGTAACCCTCTTTGGGGTACTGACAAACCCTGCTTGTAGCTACCCATGAACCTCCAAGCAGGTTTCGAGCAGGTAGCTTCCCACGAGCTGGCTACTAGTCTGACTGCATGAGTTCGTGCTTGCTAAGCAAGGCGGCGATCGGGCGCAACCAGGGGCTCCGAAAGAACCTCCCTCCTGCTTCCACTGGCGCGATGGGGAATCAGCTACACCACCTCGCCTGCAGAAGCTTCGCCTTCTTCTGTGATGGCTTGTACTGCGTGACCTGGGCGATGTGGCTCAGACCCGAAGCTAAGCCCCCAAAAGCCCAAACCCAACCCCGCAACCCTCAGCCCTCACCTTTTGGCGAATGGCTCAACATATCTCCAACCGCATGGGACCCCCCCAATCCTAAACCCCAAAGCCAAACGAAGTGGTGCGACGAAGTTGCATAGTACAGGTAGGCCGTGGCGATGACCATCGCCAGTGGCACACTTGGCAGCGAAGGCTTGTCAAGGCTGCACTGCAGTATCTGCAGTTTAACTAGGGCTTATGCATAGCCCAGATCATAACGGGTCTGCTTCGCAATGCCATTGGGCTTTCCTTCTCCTTGCCCGAAAGCTTGCACCCCTATACGCGGTTTCGGGACCAATCGCAACCCCTGAGCCCTCCACCTCTCAACCGTCAGCCAAACAGCCCATGTAACCCCCGAGTTCAGCCCCTTTATTAAGAGGGAGGATTCTTTTTCGTTCACGAGTCCAGTCCCGAATGAAGGGGTCCTTGTGGCCCCAACCGCAAGGTAAGCTCGCTACCTGACCCAGTGGAACTTCAGCGCCATGGCTTCGGGACGGAAGGAGATACTGACAAACCGATTTCCTGATAGTCGAATAGCTTGGGATGTTCACCCTTATACTAACATTATGCAAGGGCTACTGGAGACCCTGAACCAACTACTCCTTAATTCAGGGGCATTGCGCTCTCGGGGTTCCCGAGCACCCCAGACCCTAACATAGGATGTTCCTTTTAAGCTTCTGACACAAACTCCTAAATGTGCTCCTCTTACACCCAGTATAAGGGGGAAAGATACAAATATCCCTGAAAGGGACCTACCTAAAGCAAACTCCAGAGCCACTAACCTTTCTTACCAAAACCATTAGCTTCCCAGAACCACGGGCTTGACCCAAGAGTAACCTAGGAATACAAAGGGCACCCTCTTTGGTTTAGCGGGGGAACACACTCTGAAAAAAGGGAATGAAGGCCATGAAGGCCTACTTTGGGTCCTAGGGAGAAGTTGCAGCTTGAACCAGCTGCAAAGTTGGTCGCTTCCAAGGGCTTTGTGTGTGGCCCTGTTGACTTAATATTTAGGGTTCCGGGTTTAGGGTTTGCCAGGTTTAGGGTTTAGGGTTTAGGGTTTGGGGTTTAGGGTTTAGGGTTTAGTGTTTAGGGTTTAGGGTTTAGGGTTTAGGGTTTAGGGTTTAGGGTTTAGGGCTTAGGGTATCGCCTAGAAACCCGAGAGGAATCCGCATAACCCAACTTACTCGAGTCAAAAGGGCTTCCAAGCACCTCGAGCTACTTGGAGGTTCATGGGTACTTATAGCCCCAATTAGAACTGCACTTATGAGCCCCCTAAGCCAGCCATGATTGAGCTTATAAATATAAGTACCCATAAGTTCCCATGGACGTCAAAGTAGACAGAGCTGCTTTCGTTGGAGCGGAACGCAGATGCCTCTGCTGTGGGGCTTCGGCCTTTTTTTCTCTTTCAGACCCAGGGAGCCCTTTAATAATCCCTGAATTAAGGGACACGCCCTGAAACCCGAAGCCCTAAGACCCATACCTCAACTCATGACAAGGATCCTTACAAGCCCACGGTATGCTTCCCAAATTGAGGCATATTTGGGCCTACAGGAAGTTGCCTTAAGTCATATTATAAGGATCCCGACAACGATTCTCAGAATATTCCCTAACCAAATCCGCACCAGGGATATGGGGACAGCAGGCGGCAACTTTTTAGCCCCATCTGATTCACGCACCCTCGAATGTTCCTACGGGGAGGGGCCCCTTCGCACTAAATTGGGCCTTTAGGTCTCTACTTAAGCACCCTGGGAGGGGGGGTGTAGGTCAAGGACATCCCTTTTTCTCGATGCTAGAACTCGGGATTCGGGCCCCTCTTTGTAGGTTCCTTGGGTGGAAATTCCGCTGATTGCAGCCTGGGATTCGCCAGGCGGGGGGGGGAGAGCGTCGGCCCAGGGCCGAAATCTCAAACTCCAGCTGCGTGCCCGTGCGCCCAAGTGGCGCGGGAGAAATGGGAGGATGGGTTTCGGGTTTGGGGCTGAGACTCGGGTCTTTGTGCCACCTGCCTATGCAGCCTCGCGACCACACCCAGCAGACTCGGTTTAGGGCTTAGGGTTCAGGGTTTAAGGTTTAGGGTTTGGGGTTCGAGGCTCAGGGTCGAGTTGTAGACCTCGTCACCTGCTTTTTGAGAGAGTACGTCTTTTGGGGGCCTTAACAACTGGAAAAGGGTTTGGGGGTTTTTAGAGTACAGTTATATAGGGACCATAAACGAATACTATTAGGACTTATTCCGACCCCTACGTTACGTCGTTTGTGGGGCTTCTGCCTCTTCCCGCCGGTCCTGGGTGCATCTGCACGCTGGCGGACCTCGTACGGTCCTATGGAAGACGTCCCGCGAGTGCCTCTTTGCGGCTTCGGTGTGTTCTGCTCTCCAGCATCTCCTAACCAGATCTTGTTGATGTCGGAGCCTGAATAATTAGAATAGGATTTTGGGGGGTTATTCGAGTATGATTGCCATGAGGGAATATCATTAGTAATTATTCCGACTCCTGTATTGCCATGCTGCCGGAAATCTGTGCTTCCGAGCTTCCTAGCTTCATGTGCGCGCCAGGCCCGCGTGGACATACTTTTAGCTGCGCAGCGATTTTGCTGCACCGAAGGGGCAGGCGCCCGAACTCTGATTCCGAGCAAGAGCCGGAGCCGAAGCCATCAACTCTCTTCGGCATAGAGGTTTTAGGGTTTAGGGTTGTTGGTCTAAGGTTTAGGGCTTGGGGTTTAGGGTTTAGGGTTTAGGGTTGAGGGTTGAGGGTTGAGGGCTTAGGGTTTAGGATGCTCTCTTACTTGGAGGTTCATGTGGGTAATTATACGTAGGGTCATGAGTATGGCATCTATACCTATCGCCCTATTTAGGGCACTTACATGAACCATCAACAAGTACATCAAGGAACAGGCTCCGGTATGGCTCTGCAGACGCCTGCGGTATGCAATGAAACGTGCGAACTTCCGCGGGCCCTGTACGTGGCCGACTACTTGAAGGCTCCATGGTTGTAAGTGGGGTTGAAGGTATGGTGACTCTACTTGAAAACCCTATTTGTGGTATTGATATCCGTACTTGTGAACACCCATGAACCTCCAAGTAAGGGGCCACAGTCAGCTTACCACTCTATAATTCTAATGCTTTGCAAGTGGGAAGCATGTCGGCCGCACCAAACGCACAGGCCAACAGCTGCCTGTTAACAGGAGACTGCAAGTCTCGGACCCAGCAAAGAAACATCGTGCCCACCTCAGCCAATCTCACTTTAAATCCAGCAATAGTCCTTAAAGTACCCAAAAGCGCCAAGACACCCAAAAAAAAAGGGTTTAGGGTTTAGATTATAGGGCCTGGGGTTTAGAGTTCAGGTAAACCTAAAAAAAGCGCAACCCACACACATCGCAATACGGGGCCCCCCTGACCTGCAGTCTCATCTCACCTCCGAGTGGCTCGCGAAGGTCTGGGGTGGTGTGAATGCTTTGGAGACCCAAGGCTAGCCGACTAACCTAGGTACAAGAAAGGCTGCCCTTTTTGCTTCACAGGACCCTAAACCCCCCAAAAAAAGGGAACAAGGGCCTACTCCCCGGGTCCTGGGAGTTGTCCAGGGACTCCAATACCCCTTAATTAAGGGTTTAGGGTTTAGGGTTTTGGGGTTTAGGGTTTAGGGTTTAGGGTTTAGGGTTTAGGGTTTAGGGTTTAGGGTTTAGGGTTTAGGGTTTAGGGTTTAGATATAAGGAGTCTAAGGTTTCTGAGACACCCTACAAGCTGACCCACCTCAGGCACTGGATGCCGCCCGTTGCGGCCTCGGCTCTCCGGGTCTCCAGGGAGTGGCGAAGCGTTGGGGGGATTTAGGGTTTAGGGTTTAGGGATTTAGGGATTTAGGGTTTAGGGTTTAGGGTTCAGGCTACAGGGTTTATATAGGGTTTAGGGTTAGGGTTTAGGGTTTTGGGTTTAGGGTTTGGGGTTTGGGGTTTAGGGTTTAGGGTTTAGGGTAAACCCTTAACCCTTAACCCTTAACCCTTTTTGCGCCCTGATCCCATCTTTCAACCCCGGCTCTACTCCAAGCATCCCTAAACCCCAAGCCCTCAGCTGTTGGGGCTTGGGGCTTCTCTGGCTGTGGCTCTTGAGATGTGAGGGTTGATCTAGACTTCTATCTGAAGGTTCATGGGACTTACTAACCAATTATAACTGTACTTATAACCCTACTTATAATACCCCTAAAGGGCCTTATAGGGGTTATCCCAATTATAAGTAAGTCCCATGAACCTTCAAGTATCTGCTTCAGAATCCCCAACAAAATATGCTTCCTTATGAGGGCAGTACAGGGATTTGTATGTTCTTGTTTTGCTTCTTTTTCGGGGCCTCATGTAAGGGGGCGGTCTAAGTCAAGGTGGCTTAGGGTACGTGGCGATGCCCGTGCCATTGAAAGGAAGGGTATCGGACTGGGGCTTCCCGGCGAGTTGGGTCAACCATACTACAGGGTTGAGGGTTGGTAATGGTACCTCAACTTCCATGACAGACAAACCCTGAACCCTAAACCCTAAACCCTAAACCCTATACCCTTTTGAACCCGTGATCCTTGAGGTGCCAGCACTGGAGCAGCATAGGCACTGGAACCCTGTACCCTAAGCCCTTTTTGCCTCAAGCCTATAAACCCTCAACCCCAAACCCTCAAAACCCTAAACCCGATACTCTCAACCCGAAGCCCTTAACCCTAAACCCTTTTTGCAACTGGGACTTGCTGGCTGCCAGAAAGGAATCCCCACTTCACCAACCCGCAGCCGCAAACCGCAAACCCTAAACCTTTCTTACGGCTAGGACTAAACCCTAAACCCTAAACCCTAAACCGTAAACCCTACATGCCTCTCACTGCCGAGGCCTCTGCTGGCTTCCGACGCTCGAGGGCGTTGCCTGAAAAAAGCGCAGGTTTGTTGGTCTGGGGTTTAGGGTTTAGGGTTTAGGGTTTAGGGTTTAGGGTTTAGGGCTTAGGGTTTAGGGTTTAGGGTCTAGGATTTGAGGGTTTAGGATTATGAGGTTGGGGTGGGTCAGGGCTTACAGTCTGATGGGTCTAGGGTTGAGTGGGGGCTCCTGGGAAGCTTCCAAGAGCTTCGAGAAATCAAGGGATGGTTGCGCGAAGGCTTTCCAACACCACGCAAAAGTTTCTGGATTCTTCGTCTAACTTGGAGGTTAATGTGGGTACTTGTCAGTACGGTTATAAGTACCCTGAATAGGGTTTTAAGTATAATGAACCAGAATCGCGCTTGAGCCCAAAATCCGAAACCCAGCTCCGCCCGGGCGGGTTTGCTGCAGGCCATGCGCGTCTTCTTCGGAGCAAAGCAGGAAAACCTCGCTATTTACGATGTTCTCCTAGGCTACGCATGACAAAGGGGGTGGTCTAAGTCAGGCCCTGTTGAAAACGCAATCCCAGCTATGGACTGTCCACATGGCATGCTTGTCGCTATCGTGGGCAGCGTACTCACAAAGACATGCACTGGTCACACGGACATCACCGGTCACCGAGAAGAACCCTTGTATAGTCGGTCACGGATGTGTTCGCAACAGGGATGTCGTGGGACATGGGCGTATGGCGCAGGTTGGCATTTCGGAGTCGCGGCCGCGGAGGGGCGCTGGGGCACCGCTCCTCTTAGCTCTGTCACTGCACGGCTAAGCTCGGCTGACAGCCAAGAAAGGCCGGAGACTGAATGACGTGGAGGGACGTGTGCGTTGAGAAACCTAGGAATGGTCTATTGTAACGGGCGCAGCAGGGAAGGGGAACGGCAGCAGGACAGACTCTCACGCGGAGGGCTCTACGAAGTCATGCAGTCAACATGGGCTTGTGCTGGCAGATGCACTTCCTTGCTGGGTTGAAGGGGTGACTGACTGCGGCTTAAGGTCCAAGTTCGGGGGCTTGACCTATATAGACCCTTCAAACAAGATGAAAACCCCCTTGTTGTATACTCCTTACTTTAGGAGTAGTGGTCTTTCTGATAAGGGCTTGAGGATTCGGGCACTAACCAGGCTTTGGTCCCGGTTTCTGCTCCCAGGCACCCTGCTCTCCACCAGGGTTTAGGGTAAGGGGGTTTAGGGGGTTTAGGGGTCTAGAGAATTTAGGGGTTTAGGGGTGTAGGTGCTTAGGGGCTTCGGGGTTTCGGGTTCTACTCCGAGGCACCCCGTTCTCCACCAGGGGCGAGGTTGCGGAGCCCTTCCGCTCGCTCGCTGCACGCGGCTTGCGCAGTCCTCAAGGGTCAACCCAAAGAGCCCAAAACCCCTTCACTAAGGAACATACAGACAAGGGTCTAAAGTTTAGGGTTTAGGCTTGAGGGTTTAGGGACTAGGGTTTAGGGTTTAGGGTGAGAGCCCAAAACCCCTTAATTGAGGAACATACCTTAAACTCTACAGGGATCCTTAGCATGACTTGAGGCATATGCCTGAATTAAGGGGTATACACGGGTCTCTACACTGACATGTGGAACGGCACCCTGAAGAAATACATGGAGGTTCACAGGGTAGTTCTTCGTTGGGTTATAAGTACCCTACATAGGGTTATAAGCATATAAGTTACCATACTTATGACCCTACTTGGAACTACCCATGAACCTCCAAGTAGGGTCTGGACCAGCTGAGTAAGTGCGCAGAATTCTGGGTTCAGTAATTCCTTATGTAGGGCACGCATTTCCCTCATTCCCTACTACGAACCAACAAACCCGTAAACCTTACACCCTTTTTTGCAGCCGGACACCCTAAACCCCAAACCCCAAAACCCTGCTGCTTGATTCAGGGGTATGGGCTCTCCGGAAACTGGCCCGCCATGCAAGTCTCCAAATCGAGTTGCGGGGGTCTGGAGCTTAGGCCTGCGGCCAGGGTTTAGGGGTTTGGGGTTTCGATGCTGCTTTCGCACTCGAACGGCAAGGTCTCAAGGTCTTTGTGCAGCATAACAACATGAATTACAGGGACAGCTCGTTGCCTTGGCGATTTAGGGCTTTTGGATGCTTGGACCGGAAGCTGCTGAAGAACAAGGTCCCAGGAAGCCCAACACCCCATAACTAAGTCTTGCAAGGCACCTCACTTGGGCCTACTTTCTGAGGGTAGTTTCATGGGGGCCCCTTGATATGGTCCCCCGTTAAAGGGTGATAACTACCCTTAGATACTTCAGAGTCCGGATTTCCCCTGTGAGAAGCTTACGGGGTGCTGGGCTCGCAGGGGGCCGAGGACGTCCTGCAGTTGTGAACGTCATGAGCGGTCGCTCGATGAAACACCAAAGGCCCACAGCGCAGGCGTAGGCAATGGAGCAGTTGCCTCGGTGGCGTGGGGGGGTTCTCGTCGCGCTCGCAAAGAGACAGGCAAAAGGATGGGGTTCTGGAGGGTTTTCTGGGTTTGGGGGGGGGGTTTAGGGTTTAGGGTTTAGGGTTTAGGGTTTAGGGTTTAGGGTTTAGGGTTTAGGGTTTAGGGTTTAGGGTTTAGGGTTTAGGGTTTAGGGTTTAGGGTTTAGGGTTTTAAGGGCTTTAGTTTCGGGTTTGTCAGACTCGAGGATGCTCCGGGCTTTGGGGGTTTAAGCACACTCTGAAAGCCAAAAGCAGCGCATGGGAAGCCATGTGGGCCCTTAGTGTGGCCCTTGGCAGTTGCATAGGGTATATAAGGGTGTATAAGGGGGGGTCCCTTTTCAGGGCCCTTGCTACACGGCCATGTAACGACCCGAAGAACTAGCCCTGCTGTTCGGGACATGCTGAGACTGCTGGACATAGGCATACTTGGAGGTCCGTGGGTAGTTCTAACTAGGGTTGCATGCAAGTATGGGAACTATACTCATGACCGTATTTATGGCACTGAGAACCCCTACCTCTGCCCACCTGCACCTCAAAGTACGTTTTCTACCATGAACCCTACGTAGGACACTTAGAGCCCTACTTCTGGTTCCCCAAATGAACCTCACAGTATGTTCTCTGGGGGGGAACGGCTCGAACCACGCCAGGGCGCCAATGAAACGATAGCACACATCCTTGCAGAGCTTGTGGGCGCTTTGTGGTATGTCCATGGTGCCAGTACCCTGTAGTTGAAGAAGCATGCCCTAGATTGGAATGTTCCCTCGTATACGAACAGTCCTTAACATAGTACCCCCTCTTGCAGCCCCTATTACGGACTGTTAGCCCTGAATCATATTCTAAGGGAGTGTTCCTTGTACTACCAATTGCTTAAGACCCCCAAAAAACATGTTTTCCTTATCAAGGTCAATATAGGAATTGTTTTTTTGGGGGGGTTCTTAAGCAAATAGCAGCTTTTCGAGTTATGCCACGTGCATGTATGCACTTTCAGCTCGAAACTACAAGAGCTCCAGTTCGGTGGGCACTAAAACAAGACTCCAAGGCTTTCACCTCGCTCTAAGCCCTGAATCCTGAACCCTAAACCCGAAACCCCAAACCCGAAACCCTAAACCCGAAACCCCAAACCCGAAACCCGAAACCCTAACCCGAAACCCTAAACCCTAAACCCCTGGTTGTTCCCCTTCTTTCGCTCAGCAGCCCCTGAAGCCTTGAATCCCCAACGCTTTCGGAGGTTTAGTTTCGGGTCGTTATTCAAGGCTTTCTGGATTTCTAGGCTTTGGGGTATGGGAATTTAGGAGTTTTTCTTGAGGGTCTACAGAGTTTAGAGGGGGTTGGGGAGGGGAGGCTCTCGGGATTAGGGTTTGGGGCTTGGGGTTTGGGGTTTGGGGTTTGGGGTTTGGGGTTTGGGGTTAGGGTTTAGTTCATGCACGAGGCCATGCCCGAGAAGGTGTAGTATTGCACGGCCGTGCCCGCTGCCAGTTTGATGACCTCCAGGCCGTGGGAACTGTGGCGATGGTTGGCCCTGTTACCCTAGTTTAGGGTTTGCGGCTTAGGGTTCAGGGTTGAGGGCTTTGGGTTTAGGGTTCAGGGTTGAGGGTTTAGGGTTGAGCCCAGAGCCATATCCCTTGTCGAAGGAATACGTAGACCTTAAACTATCTACGGATCCTTACTATGACTGAGGCAACGTTCCTTAGTCAAGGGGTCTTGATTAGGGACAAGGTTTTGGGGTTTGGGGGGGTCCAGGTTTTTTTTTCGTGTTTTTTATGGTTTTTTGTTCGTGTTTTTCATGGTCTTGGGTTTAGGGTTTAGGGTTTAGGGTTTAGGGTTTAGGGTTTAGGGTTTAGGGTTTAGGGTTTAGGGTTTAGGGTTTAGGGTTTAGGGTTTTTAGGGTTTAGGGTTAGGGTTTAGGGTTTAGGGTTTAGGGTTTAGGGTTTAGGGTTTAGGGTTTAGGGTTTAGGGTTAGGGTTTAGGGTTTAGGGTTTTTAGGGTTAGGGTTAGGGTCTAGGGTTTAGGGTTTAGGGTTTAGGGTGTAGGGTTTAGGGTGGTTTAGGGTGGTTTAGGGTGGTTTAGGGTGGTTTGGTGGTTTAGGGTGTTTAGGGTTTAGGGTGGTTTAGGGTGGTTTCAGGGTGGTTTGGGGTTTAGGAGGGTTTAGGAGGGTTTAGGGGTTTAGGGTTAGGGTTTATCACCTAAAAAAAAAAAAAAAAAAAAAAAAAAAAACAGAAAAAACACGAAAAAAGAACCATCAGCCGGTTTGGGGCGGCTAGGGCTTTCTGGTTCTAGGGTTCTAGGGCTATTGGGGAGTTTGGCGGCGTTGGCGGGGTTGGGGTTAGTGGGGCAAACCTCCCGAGACATCTAATCGTCCCAAGCCACCCTAAATCCTTAGCCCCTGCAATCCTCTAAGGGTAGTTACATGGTCCGTTAATGTGGACCCTTACTTTCTGTGGGTTTGATAGGGTAGGGGGAATATAAGGGGTCGCCATTCTAAGGGTGGAACTCTTTCCCCCCTCGTCCGTCACAACCCGAACTCATGCCATGGAAACAGCTCACGGGCAGAGCCTTCATCAAGGCCCCGCACCTAAACCCTCTAACCCTTTCTTGTCCCGAACCCTAAACCCGAAACCCGAAACCCTAAACCCCAAACCCTACACCCTAAACCCTAAACCCCCTCACCCAACCCTTTCTTGTCCTGTGCAGCCAGGAAGCCAGGGGGTGCATCAGGTAGGCGCCGTAGGTGAGGCGAACGAAAGGCCTTGACCCCCAAGAGCCCAACGTACCGAAGGAACAGGTTTAGGGTTTAGGGCTAGGGTTTAGGGTTTAGGGCTGAAGGTTTAGGGTTTAGGGCTGAGGGTTTAGGGTTTACGGCTTAGGGCTTCGAGCTTCGTGCCCCACACCCTTAAGTACTGCGGCTTCAGCAGCACTCTCATCAGGAAAAGGGTTTAGGGTTGAGGGCTCAGGGCCCAATCGCTCAGTCAAGGAAAATACCTTCAAGTTTTTTAGGCATCCTTGTTGTGAATTAAGGCATATTTTCCAACTAATAAAGTAGTTTAAGGAACGGTTCCTCAAATAAGGGCTATGGGGCCCTGAAACCGAAACCCGAAACCGCAGTGGATTAAGCATAGCAAGCGCTGCTTCCTGTCCAAGCAGCGCCCAGAACCGATGGGCAAGGAAGCCGTTGACGAGGGGTAGACGGCCTCGCTTTGACCGCAACCCAGAGAGCCCATTACCCCTTGATCCAGGGATATACCTCAAACATCCTCAAACGCTACACAAGGATCCTTATCATGATTTGAGGTGTATTCCTTAATCGTCTTCCTTGATTAAGAGGCATTGGGCACTCGGGGTATAGGGGCATATGTCACTACAGGAGGAGTAGTTTTCGTTGCTACTGTTATTGCTGGTATGTGATGTAGGCATGATTAGAGGTAACCCTTATCCTAACAGTCCTTGATCAGGGATTATAATAGAGGTACTGTCATCCCTATTAAGCACTGTCTAGTAACAGAGGGAACCTCCCGGAACGCATCCAATGCGGCGTCCAAGGGGGATTCTCAGAGTCTCAAGAAGGCCTGCGCCCTCAACACCGACGAAAAGCCGTTGGCTTATCTGCTTGGAGGTTCATGGTACTTACGAGCCAATTATAACTGTACTTATCACCCCACTTATAGTGCCCCTAAAGGGCCTTATAGGGGTTATCATAAGTGGTTATTAAGTCCCATGAACCTCCAAGCGCTCAAGGTTTTTCTACATAAACTGCGCGGCGGCCCGCCATCTTAACACAAGCGTGCCAAGAGGTTACCTGTTGAGGACACGGCAACCGAGCTCCTACAGACTCGTGCGTGGCGCGCCATGGCGCCTAGGGCTCACCAGTCCCTGCAAATATCCATGACTCTTGCGGCCTCCCAGAAGAGCAACCGCCGAAGCCCAAGGTTGACTCCAAGCTGAAGACCCTGAGCCCTAAGCCCCAAAGGGCTTTCCGTGGTAGCTATATGAGCTCAGGCCTCCACCGGACAGCTTAAGATATAAACACAGCAGTCCACCCGTAGCCTCTACTATATTATGTTACACTATATACTATATATGATATGATATTATGTACGAGCTTAGATGAATGAAAAAGGTATGTATGTACATATATATATATATATATATGATTATATATATATATATATTTTTTTTTCTTCGGCTTGCCTTCAGAGGCCCGAGAACCAAAGCACACGTGTTCGAAACAGGCCAAAAACCCAAAACCTTCGCTGCTTTCTTGCTATGTCAAGGTCGTTTGTATTGCTATTGTTATTGCTACACGTCTCATGACTCATCGCAGGAATGCCAAGACCGAGCGGCCGTAGTAGCAGAGCAGAGTGATCACGGACCATGCCAGCGCCCAGAAAAGCCGTCCAAAGTCCAGCAGAAGTATGCTCTCAAAGTCGTTCCAGCCTTATCTGAGACCGGGCTGTGCAGCCTAAACCCCAAACCCTCAACCCCAAACCCTGAAGCCTAAACCGCACTGGACTGAGGCAGGGCTGGACTTGAGGTTGAGCTGGGTAGGGGCGGGGGAGGGTCGCTCACGCAAAACCCTCTGCCGCGGCACGGTTCCGGGAGCTCCCGAAGTCAGTCGCTGGAATGAAGACAATGAGGCAGAGCACCCCCAAAGCAAGCAAGAAGGCCTGAGAGTAGAGAAAAGGGCTGACAAAAAAAGAAATGGCGCGTACCCACGCCCAGAAGAAGCCGACGTCTTGCAGCCTTCCAAACCTGAGCCTTGCACCTTTACTAAGGAGACCCCAGCCATGAGTCCGAGGGTTCACGGGTTTAGGATGTTCAGGCTTTGGAGCGGCTTCAGGTTTACGACAATCATAGGGGCCCCTAGACCAGATCCCCAGATAGGCTTGCCATAGTGATGGACCTCAAACAGGCACCCCTCACAAACCCCCCGCATGAAATCCAGTTGTGCAAGGGGATGGAGGGGATGGAGCCCCTGAATGGCAGGCTCATTCAAGAAGCACCACCCCACCTTGGGGCAGGTTTGCAGGCCCGAAGAAAGGCGTTTGTTATGCCCTATGAGGATTACATGGGGGATCATGTAACGAAAAGTAAAGAACTATGTTCAAACCTACCCCTGCAACCCCCCGAGCCCCACAGATTGCAAGCGCATGGCAGGTGTGCTCGTCATGACATGGATGCTTGCCCAGCCAAGCTGCCGTGGTGGTGACGAGGGCCTGCTTCGGCCCAAAAATTTGCGACTCCCGCGTAATACCTGGCCAGCTCGGGATTCCGGGCACAACTCGAAATCCTTGTGGTATCGTTACTCCTGGGGGGAGGTCTTGCTCCAAGCCGCTGGGCCCAACTAATTCAAAGCTTCATGCGCCAGTCTTTCCGAAACAAGCTCAGCCTGCATCTTGAGTCGCACAACGAAACAGACACATGGGGGGCCAGTTGTCAACATCATGGTTGCAATGGATACCAGGCTACCCTCCAAAAAGCAACCTCAAATTTGGGTGGAATCTTCCACGCAGAGGGGAGGGGAGGGGAGGGTGAGGGGGAGGGGAGGGAGGGAGAGGGGAGGGGAGAGGGGAGGGGGGAGGGAGGGGGGAGGAGAGAGGGGAGGGGGGAGGGAGGGGGCGGAGGATGGCCTAAACCCTCAGCCCTAAGCCATATTACTATGCTTTCGGCCCGCTAAGCCCTCCGAAGGCCTCGCTCCTCCATGGTCTGGAGCACCCAGGCTGCAGCCCTGGGTATGTTTCTCGGGCAACAACAAGTAGGGTTAAGGGTTAGTATGGCGACTCCTTGTTGGGTAAGTAAGAGGGGCCGCCTGATGGTAAGGACCCTATAAGGGACCATCTTTTAAAGAAGTGACCATACTTACCCCGCACTTACATCATCTGATGACCCTACTGCTCAAGCCCCAGAACCCGCCCTCAAGGCTTTCACACGAAAGGCACCGCCCACTTCCGCATCCTTCCCAAAAATCTCAAGCCCAAGATCCCGCAGCCCCTGCGGGGCTGCCTTAGGTTAGCAACACGCACGCCGCGAGCCCCGACATCAGCTTAGTGGAGGCACACGCCAACGAAGTATGCCGGGGCCCTGGTGTAGGGCTTGCTGTAGGCGTAGTAGGAGTACCTTGCATGGCAGAAGTTTTTTGCCCTTTTGCGCTGCAGGTTTCGCACGTGTGAATCCCCCAAAAGAAAACGTGAGGAAAGTCGCCCTACTAATTCAATTATTTCCAGCTAGACATCCAATTAAGAAGCAGGTTAAGAAATCGCTTCACAATAAAGGAACCCAGGTTTCCCTCGTCAAAGATTAAGAAGTTTATGCAGCGGGCTAGAACCCTTTCAACGCATAGAAGGACCCCAATTCCCCAACTCCCTACTTAGAACCAGAAGCCGAATCTTAGGGGAACCCTTAGCCCTAACCCTAAACCCTGAACCCTAAACCCTAAACCCTAAGCCCTAAGCCCTAAACCATACACCGAGACATACCGAGGCCCGGCATAAGCAGCCCAAGGCTCTCGGTGTAATGCTGGTCAAAGACATAGGGAGACAGGTGGTACTTCGCGATCAGCCCGGCGGTGATGCCCAAGGATGTGCCGGTTAGCACCCTGGGACTGGCTTAGGGTCTAGGGTTTTTTTTTAGGGTACAGGGTATAGGGTCTAGGGTCTAGGGTTTAGGGTTTAGGGTTTAGGGTTTAGGGCTTAGGGCTTAGGGCTTAGGGCTTAGGGCTTAGGGCTTAGGGCTTAGGGCTTAGGGCTTAGGGCTTAGGTTTCAGGTTTAGGGTTGGGGGGGCAGGGGGAATTGGGGATTTGGGGCTCCAGCTCAGGGTTTGCTACGCCCGAAGCTTTCGGGGCTTCCACCCCCACCGCCCCCCCAACTCAAAACGTCCAGCGCCGAGCAGCAGCAGGAGGAACCAGCCCAATAGTTTCGCCTTGTGGAAGATGGGAATGATGGCCTTGACTTGCAGAGTGGAGTTGGGCTGAGGAAAGGCGAGCTTTGGAACTTCGGGTGTGGGGGGGGGGGGGGGGGGGGGGAATCTTGCAGAGGGCAAGAAAGAAACCTAGACATACTAGCTGGCGGTCGGCCGAAAACTTTTGAAACGGCGAAGTGCCGTCACAAGCAGCATCGTTACCATCGGCACGATCATCATGACTACCACCACCACAATCACCGTCGGAGCAAGTTATATACGCTCTTCGCGCGCGAGAACAGGGTAGACCAATATGAAAGTGCCCAAGATCGACGACAACTACGGGATCGACCCCCCACCCACACACACACACACAATTACTTACTTTCCTCTTCACAACAAAAACGACCGCTTTGGGGGACGACGACTAGGACCCCCACGTTCGGACGAGTGGGTTGCCACTCCTCGACTTATGCGGATCAAGCAGGATGATCGCTTCGAGGATGGCAACGACGACTCGCCGAGAACACTAAGACGATTGCCACCATTGAGATATGCAGGGCAGCAGCGGTGATCATTTTTTAAGACGGCGACCCCCACGATATGCCGTGACTGCTGTCACTGTTGAGATACGAGAATCCAAAAGCGAGGATGGCGCCTCCCGAAGGCCTCGCCGCCTGCTTTAGAACGAGTGCGTATACGAATCCGAAAAAAGGAGTACCTTTCTAGGGGGTCCCTTTGGGGAGATTCTATTCCATTTGGAGTGCAAAAGGGGTACCCCTATTTTGTGAATTGCCCATTTGAGCGACGGACAGAATTACTTTACACGGTGCGAGGTCGCGGGATACCACGTCATCGCTTTGCGTGGGGCCCATATCGCTTTACATACTATGGGACTGCGGGACCACATCAAGCAAAACAGGTTGAAATGTGGGTAACTAAGGTTAGCGCTTTAGGTGGGGCCCATATCGCTTTCCATGGTTTACTGACGTTCGCAACAACTCGTGTCCACCGTAGTACTGGCTTCAAGAAACATAATTTTGGCAGGCGCTCATTTCAACGTCAGCAACACAATCTGCGGAAAGTCCGTCGCAACCCTCCCTAAACCCAAAACCCAACCCGTGAACCCTTCATGGAGAGACCCTTCTTCGAGGGACAACAACTCACATACTCTTCAGCTTCGGCACAATGCCAAGGATGAAGAAGATCATGTCATCCCCTGGGTTTAGGTTTAGGGTTTAGGGTTTAGGGTTTCTTTTGTTCTAGGGTTCCTGGGCTTTCAAGCCATGTGCAGGCAGAGTTTTCGGTTCAGAGCAGATTTGGGGTGCAGGTGTGGGGTGGGAAGTTGCTCCTGGGCCTCTCCTTCAGTGTCTTTCCACTTCGCTACTATGTCATCAAACGCTGCCATGCCAAGAGGGCTCCGAAAAGCTTAAAGCTCTTGCTGGCGGTCATATAGTGGTTTTGTAGGGGTCGTGGCAGCTGGCAAAAGGCTAAAGCAGCATGCTGACTGCAGCCAAAGCTCCAAGATACCACGTCCATCCCATGCAAACTTTATCGGAATCAAACGGAATAAAGTTCCTGAGATGACATGCACGTGGCCGATGTCAGGACATGTCATGGCTCATGATGCAGGGGCTACAAAGAGGTCTCACGCAAGACAACCGAAGGCCAGGCATGACCTGACCTGACAGTCTCTTCAGAGCGGCATCGTGTAGGTCAGCTCGGACCACCAGGACCTTGCGGCAAATGCTCACGATTCATTGCAAGGACTTGCAATCAAATGTGTGTGGGTATGTGGGGGGGTCTCGGGCTTTTCCTTCACTCTCACAGCAGGCCGGCAAAGTTTGGGGATTCGGGTGTGGACTGAGTGTCTAATGCATAGCAGCACACTTGAACAACGAAGCTTCAAGTTCACGAACGGGAGTACGAACAATAGCCCCACAAACCTGTGGGCTAGGGTCGTTACACTCAAAAAAAGTATCAAGACACCTGCAGACACCGCTCTTCCAAAATTTACGCCCCAACCCCGTTCAAAGCCGAAAGAGGGCCCCCCCTCTGCCTAACCAAGCCTAAACCATAAAAGCATATAGCGCCCTAAACCCTAAACCCTCAACTAAGGGTTCTAAGTGCTCTTTGTGATTCTATGCCCCAGGCGCCCGGTGCAGCGCCGGAAGATGGAGTCTTGCAGGCTCAGCGCAAACGGGCCAGAAGCCAGATAGGGAAGGATGCCGACGTAGACCAGCCTGAGGGTTTAGGGTTTAGGGCTTGGGGTGTAGGGTTCAGGGTTTAGTAAGGTGTCTGTGGGGTTTTTGGAATGCTTCGACTGTCTGGCAGTCTTCCAGAAGGAAGACTCAGCACCCTGCCGCGACGTATACGGTCTTTCTACTTTGTGGACCTAACCTAGACACTGCGGCAAGTTTGGGGGTACAAATGAAAAATTTCTGGCTTTGCGGCCACCATGGTCCACTCAGAAGCTCCCTCAACCCCCCTCCCGCTTAAGAAAACGGCCCTCATGCCAGGCTGCATGGTCAGCGCCAAGCTGGGTGTGAGGCGCAGATATCTGCAACAGAAGTGCCCGTTGAGCTCATGAGGGGGGTCCGCTGATGCTATCTATCTTGGTTTACGGGAGCCCAATACAGCCATTGACGACTTCATCTTCAACAAGGTGAGGGTTCTTTTCGAACTCAAGGATGTAGTGCTTACACAAACATTGGGGGGCTCCTTTTGGGTGCCCTCGCAAGCGCGGCAACATGTTATTTAAAGGGGAAATAGGCATCCCGAAACTGCCCGAATAGCAGAAACCTAATCCCTAAACCCTAAACCCTAAACCCTAAACCCTAAACCCTAAACCCTAAGCCCTAAACCCTAAACCCTAAACCCTAAACCCAGGAGCCTGAGGAGGATGGCGAGCAACTGATTTACTCCTGGCGGCGCAGGGTCTTGGAAGTCGTAAGTTCGCAGTGTCATCCTGGGGCACCCTTGTGACCCAAAGAGGGGTTTAGGGTTTAGGGTTTAGGGTTTAGGGTTTAGGGTTTAGGGTTTAGGGTTTAGGGTTTAGGGTTTAGGGTTTAGGGTTTAAAGAGCCCGGAATATACCTCATACCATATAGGGGTTAACGAATAGGGGACCCGAACACAGACCCGTGGGATTCCCATTTTTTTTCAGGACAAGATCCAGTAAGGTACCCCTAACCTCGGAAACTACCAGATAAGGGACCCTTATGATGCTTTAAGGTCTACTCCTTGATTTTAGGGTATATGGGATCCTTTTCGGAACCAGGGACAGGGCAGCAACCTTCTGATGCTTTGCCACGTGTAAGGCGCATGGGTTTAGGGTTTAGGGTTGAGGTTTTAGGGTTTGGGGTTTAAGGGCTTCATTTCCGGCATTCCGCTGTGCCGCGGAACCCGGCAACCCCTGAAGCTCAGTTCACCAAGACTGTCCGGAGAACTCGCCTTGCACGCACACGTGAGTGCACACATAGGCCCAAGTATTTAACAACTACACACCTCAAATCATCATGAATAACAACTATACACCTCAAATCATCATGAAGAAATTCCTATTAACTATACACCTCAAATCATCATGAAGAAATTCCTATTAACTATACACCTCAAATCATCATGAAGAAATTCCTATTCTGACTTACGGTACCTTTTTTTGTTTAGGGTGGGTGGGGCTCTCGAGCCTCAAGGTCCGATGATGGCCTTCTTGACTATGGTGCAAGAGTCTTCACTTCCCTGAGAACCATAACGCATGGGTTTAGGGTTCAGGGTTTCGGGTTTCGGGTTTAGGGTTTAGGGGTAATCAACAGACATCAGAACCCCATTTCCGTGCAGAACCTCTGCCCAAAAACCACACGCTTTGGCCACAAATGACAAGCCCCAGCGTCTCGTACGATGTGCGCCAAAACCGCTATGTCGACGGGTTGAAATTATTGAGATACATTTGGGTGGTAGTCAAAATTATGGTCCCTTTTTGGATCCCTACTATAATACGGCACCTAATAATTAGGGCACCCCAAAAGGGTTCATAATTTTGACAGCCACCCATTTGAAGTCATGTCCTCCTCCTCTTTGGAGATCTTTAAGTGTGAGGTGGGACAGCAAGAAGCCAGACCTGGCCACTTGAACACGTGACAGAGAAATAGGGGGGGAACCCAGAGGGTGGGTAGCATAGAGGGGGGTAGTAGGGGATTCCAGCGCATCCAGGTCACAAGAAAAAGAAGGTGTCCACACCTTGGTCAATGACGTCAGTTGCTTGTGCCACGTTCATCCATCATGCACCCGGCATTCTCATCTGAGGGGGTGCACTCGCTTCAGCCTGGATGATCAGCATCAGCAACGGATTATTTTCCGCAACCGCTTGATTCAAGCCACCTTATCACACAAAAGCACTTGCTTTCGACGTTCCACCTGCCTTGGAGAAAAAGCAGCACCAAGCTCTCTCCTGAGCACTGGGCCGAGCGAAATGTCCTGTGGGTTGGCATAGCCAGAAACGCCTGCAAAACAAGGGACGTGTCATGCTTCGAAAGCTACTGACGAGCATCAACAAAGCACTCAATATCCGACACCAAATCCAACCTTCTGGCATCAAGAAGGTGTGACCGAGGATGATCCAACACATGGCAAGGACCCGCAGGCCGTTCAAACAATCTGTTGGCTTTGACCTGACAAGCGACTGGAAAGCTCGGGGCATCCGGAAACACCATGCTGCGTGAGTTAGCTTCCAAGACTTAGACCACAACACGCAAGGCTGCGGCGGTGGCAACTCCACCAATTTCGACACAGTGCCCGTGCGCCCAACCAGCGCAAAGGCCTGTTCACACAGCCACTAAAGAAGAGACACACGCGACACGCGCGCGCACGCACTCACTCACTCACTCTCTCTCACACACACACACGAGTAGTTTCCTGAATTATGTATGTTCCCTTTGTGGGATGGGTGCCACCCTATAATGGGTACCCAAAAAAGGGACCACAGTTTAGGAAACTGCCCATGTGAGAAAGATGAGAAGATCCTAAAAGACGACGCCTCAAAACATCGAGAGCTTCCGGAGGCTTGTCCAGTTGCGGCTGGCGCTTCCTGTCGTGCAACTCCAGATGCCAAAACTGTCCCACAGCCCAGGGTTTAATTAGGGTTTAGGGGTTTAGGGGTTTAGAGTTTGGGGTTTGGGGTTTGGGGTTTGGGGTTTAGGGCTTAAGCCTCCATGCTGCTTTTCAACTGGGGAAAAACAATCGGTCCTCTCTGCTGCGGCTCGTCGCGCGCACCATCCATGTTGACAAGGCGATGAAACCGGCCAACACGACGAGAAGGCTGACGGAGGCAACAAACCCGGCACCGGGCGAGACCAGGCCGCCCACAGGATCTGAGGCATGGACGTCCGACAAGTGGAGGACACCTGAAAGCTTCCTAACATTAGGAGTACACATTTTCGGGTTCTGAAAGAACGGAATGTCGCAGTTTGAGGGACTTGTAGCATCTTGGGGATGTTGGGGGACACATGCGGAGTTTCCCAGTTGTCGGAAAGTCCCACCTAAATCCGGCACCAGCCGCTGCGCCGCAGTGGTGTTAAGCAACATGGGCACATCCACCGGCAAACATGCCTGCCGCAGGAGACAGGGGGGTTTTGGGCTTGAGGTTTAACATGGGGGGGGGGGTTCTCGAAGTTAGGGTCGCTGTGGGGGCAATTCTTACTACGCCGAACTTTCAAACTGTCAAACCAGCAACAACATAGAGCGAAACCCCAAAATAATTCCGCCCAACCAACTCAATTTCATGGCGCAGCAGCGGCAGAACATGGCGCAACGTGGAGCAGAAGCTGAGCTCTGGACAGCTCCTGAAGCGTAAAGCGTATGCTCCCAGAAAACTCTATGGCAACCTCCCACCAGCAAGAGTCCCTGAGCACCGCAACCCGAGAAGTCAAGTACGGTTTCGGTTTAAGGTTCAGGGTTCAGGGTTTAGGGTTTAGGGTTTAGGGTTCAGGGTTTAGGGTTCAGGGTTTAGGGTTTAGGGTTCAGGGTTTAGGGGGGGGGGCTTCCCCCCAAAATCCCACCTTCGGCAGGCAGAAGCCAATTCCGATCTTGGTGGCGTGCGCCGCAGGGGTCGGCAAGGCGCCCAGCATCTCCACCAGCACGTAGTGGGCGTGAGGCAGGCCGGAGCACATCAGAAACTTTCCTGCGCATTTTCGCCCTTGTACTATAACCCCTATTGAGGACGGGTAGTATAAGGACTATAACCCCCATTGAGGACCGGCTAGTAGAAGGGGGAACATCCCAAGGGCACATGCGATGTCGACATGCACGCAGGCCTTTTTTGCAGCCGATACAAGATATTCGCACCCTGCAACGCTACATCACAAGATGCTGCCAGCGTGTTTCTGCTTTTATCAACCTGGCAGTTCCAATGTGGTTTGTTTGCCATTGCCCGCCGGATATGCTTGCAGAATGCCGTTTCAAAACCCAGCAAATCAGCTACAGGCGCGACGGCCCATGGCGATTTGGTTCAGTTTGGTGCCATGGGTCCTGCATCTCTTGGCAAGTTTTTCCCCGTCGACATGCTCAGCTCTGCCAACTCATTTGGGTCAAGTGCGGCCAATGCCGCCGGACAACCTTATGGGGCGTGCGGGATCAGCATTGTCATGGTTCAATTTCGCACACACAAACATCAAACTGCAACTGCGCAGCCACTTTCCATCACGGCGCGCTGGCCAGTTGCTAATATGTTTTGTGGTCTAACAGCGGCGATGGTTCGCCGGAAGGGTGTTTGGAAGAAACGGCTGCGGGACGCAAGATTATGCATACTGCATGATCTCCCCCTGTGCACTTGCGATCTGTCCCCTCATCTGTTCATATCTGTTCCGCGCAATGCGCGCCCAAATCCAACCTGCAACCTACAATGCAATGAGGCCAGGAATTGGCTGGAGTTTTCACCTGCAGGGGTTTCACCCTAAGGTACAGATTTGGGGCCTGGGCATCGCACAACACGGCAACTTTCGAGGTCACGGCAAGCAAACAGCACAGGCGCCGTTTTTCCGGGCACGAAGCCAAGCAGGATTGGTGCATTAGGCAAATGGCAGCCCCCTAAAACCCTAAACCCTAAACCCTGAACCCTAAACCCTAAACCCTAAACCCTACACCCTAAACCCTAAACCCTAAACCCTAAACCCTAAACCCTAAACCCTAGACCCTAAAGGGGCTTCCGAGGGACATAAGATAGGCCTCGGCTCTGAGCAAGGCACGCTCAGGAGCCCTACAGCCTCGATACGGCCCTTTGTGGGCCAAAATCGCAAGGCTCTTAGGGCTCATCTTTGAACAAAAGGCCTGGGATGGCCCGGTTTAGGGTTTAGGGTTTAGGGTTTAGGGTTTAGGGTTTAGGGTTTAGGGTTTAGGGTTTAGGGTTTAGGGTATGGCCCGTAGACCCCTCTGAAAGTATTCCTACGTGACCCTCTTAAGCCCATATCGGGGAAAATGTAAAATTTGATCCTTTTAAACTCAAATAAGGGAGACAAACATACAAAACATCTCAAGGGCCTCCCTAGGAGCTCTTCCAGTACTGGCCGCCCCTCTCGTCGCTGCACTCGTTCATGAAGACCGTGTGGTCATGCCATGCGTAGTCCAAGCAGTTGTTGGCATACTCCTGCGCCATTGTTGGGGTACTACTAAATAAAAAGAGATCATTTGTGTTCCTTAGTGGGTTTAAGTATTCATAAGCAGGTAAAAATGATTCTCAACACTGGCCCAGACTCGGTCTTCAGCTTTTCGCCTTCCCAGTACCACTGCTGGCCCGCGGAGCCATCGCACTCGTTCATCAGGACATCCCCCCACCACTTTGGGTCACTGCTGTTGTACCCGCTCACGTAGTCGAGGCACTTGTTGTTGGCCTTGGTTTTCAGCGCCTTGCCCTCAAAGTACCACTCCTGGTTGTCCCCGCTATGGCAGTATTGCATGAAGACCATGTCCACGCCCTGGTGGTTGTCCAGGCACCAGGGCTCCGTGTGGTCATGCCGCGAGTTAAGAATCCTGTTGTTTATCTTGGCGGTGCTGACTTCAGGGTCCCAGTGCCACTGCTGGCTAGGCTGGTCCTGGCAATCTTGGAGGACAACGTTGTGTCCTCCATTGCTGCTGTCAACATCGAGACAAAGCTCGCCGTTGTACATGCTTTTGAGCGCCCCTCCCTCAAAGTACCACTGCTGGTTGGCCTCCCCGTGACAGGGAGAGATGTAGACGTTTCCACTGCCATAGTTGTAGTCTAGGCACCGGTGGTCAAAGCGAGTCTTCAGGGACTGCCCATCGAAGTACCACTTCTGGTAGAATGCATTCCCCTCATGGCAACTCAGGACTTGCACGTTGCTGTTTCCACCTCGGAAAGCAGGGGGCTTCGCCCCTTGGGCTTGGGGAGGAAACAAGGGGACCCTTCCAAAGAAACCCCCAAGCTGAACCCTTCTGAAGCCTTCATAGGTGGCGTAGTCCAAGCACTTGTCGCGGACTCCATTCCGGATTGGGCCGCTGTGAACGCGAGGCTCCCATAACCATTTCTGCCGGCTGTCTCCGGTGCAAGGGGCGAGGTCGACGTCCTCAATCTCACCTGAATAAAAAAAATATGCTGTTTAGTATCCTCTTGGGTTTTATATAAACGAAAACAACAAAACAATTCCCAAGGGGGATATAGCACTGCTGTAGCCGATGCAGTTCTCATCGTGGCGGGTTCTGAAGAGTTGACCATCGAACCGCCAGTGCTGATGATCACCGCCATGGCAGTCATGCATGTACACGGAACCCTGAATTCCAACCTTGTCAAAGTCCAAGCACTTGTCGTCAGACCTGGTTTTGATGGTCACCCCATCAAAGTACCACTCCTGGTTCTCGAGGCCAGTGCACCCGGCGACGTGGACGGTGCCGTCGTTCGGGTCGTACGCCAAGCACATGGTCTGTGATGGCCACCATGTCATGCCCAACTTGATGGGGCCGCTAAGGACCTCTTCCTCGACGCAGTCGTGACATTCCTCCTCAGTCAGGTCGTCCTCGGGCATGTCATCGAAGTGGATATCGGCGCACCCTTCCTCACGCATCTCCTGCAGGAGACCAGGCCCTTTACTTCCCAGAACAAGCCCAGGAAGACACAACATGCGCGGAATCCCGCTGCAAGCCTCGGATCCATTGTGGCTTTTTTGATAAGGAATGAAGGGAATGAATGGGACCCAACTACACCGACGATCATCCCTTGTGTTGGGGCCCTACTGGACCACAACCAGCCCCCCCCCCCCGCCCTATCCCCATCGCCCCATGGTCCCTGGCCTCAACGAGATCAACCACCCCGATGGGGTCCAAGAGCTTCAGTCCCTCCTTGAGCCATTCGGCCGCTGAGTTTCGTTGTTGCTCTATCTTTGCAGCCCAGTCGATGGCGCCGGCCATGATAATCGATTCCATGGTCGTCTCAACGACCTCCTTTTTGATCAAGTCCATGGACTGCCTCTTGATAAAGGCTTTGCTCATCAGCTCCCTGGCCGAGGACTTCACCTTGCCCAAGATGGCCTTGGCCGCCTTCTTCACTGCCTTTCGGAAGGCCACCATCGCCACCTTTCTCCCGACCTGCAGGGAAGAACTCCCAAAAGGAAAGTCTCCAGAGAAAAGTGCCCCCAAAACTCATGGACCGGCATGCCACTAAGAAGGGCTCAGGCGCACAGGCCCGCCAGGAGCCAGGTTTTTTTTGGGGGTGTTTTTTGGCTGCCCCCGCAAAGTCAGCTGGCACGATGAAGATTGCATCGTTTGCATGCTAGAACCTAAACCCTAAACCCTAAACCCTGAACCCTAAACCCTAAACCCTAAACCTGGAAATCCTCAAGCCGCACCTCGGGCCTGATCGCACTCAGGGGCTGAACCTTCCGTTCCAAAAAAGCTGTGAAGTCTGAATCCTCACAAGCCACCCCTCAGAAACCCCACACACTCACCCCCGAAACCCCTAAACCCATTTTGGACCCCTGAACCCGAAAGGAAACCCTAAACTGAACCCTGACGCCCAACCCAAACCCTTTTGAACCCTGAACCCAATTTTGAACCCTAAACCCGAAACCCGAAACCCGAAACCCTAAACCCTAAACCTTAAACCCTAAACCCTAAACGCCAAAGCCCGGCGCCTTGAAGGCCATCCGACCCGCCTTGAATGCGGTCCCAAAGGCCGGGACCGCCCCAGCCATGGCCATGAGATTCCTGAGTTAAGGGTTTAGGGTTTAGGGTGTTTAGGGTTTAGGGTTTTTAGGGTTTAGGGTTTAGGGTTTAGGGTGTAGGTGCAAAGGCATGACAACTATGCCTTATCATCATTTATACTCCGATTTGGGGTTTAAGGTTTTGGGTTTAGGGTTTTTCGACACCTCCCTAGCTGATCGCATGGTTTAGGGGTTTTTTTTCCCTCCTGCACAGCTGGGGCGAATCCGCAAGGGTTTAGGGTTTAGGGTTTGGGGTTTAGGGACGTTCTCCTAGGGCACACATAACCCTACTTGTAGTTCGCCTCGGCTTCCTGCCGAGAAGCGTCTGGAACAAGCAGACCCGGATCGGGCCTCCTTCCCCCAACCCAACCCTTCCCCCATACAAAATTTTCTGACGCCACCCCCCCCCGCCCGTGGAGGTCCCGCCTGTCCGTGGCTCTTACCCCCCCCACCCCCCCCCACCCCCAACCCCCACCCCCCCTGCCCTTCCTTCCCTTTTTTTGCGAAACCCTCTTTCCTCCTTTCGGGCCGGGCCGGCTGCCGAGGCGGCGCGCGCAAGCGTTTACAATTACCCACGCTCCTTACCCTGTCACCGTCTTGTCTGAGCTCGGGAGCCTCTCATTCTCTGATCCCTGAGATTCGAGAGCTTATGGGGACACGCATCATCTTGCCATTCTAGGGGCTTCGGGCCTTGGCGAGTTCACTAAGACCATGTGTGCCCCGACTGCAACCCAGGATCATGGAGTGCTTGGCCGCACAGCCCCAGATGTCCTTGGCGCAGTAGCGGCCGAAGAAGCCGCAGTTGTGGTTGTAGACCTTACCTGCGGGTAAGCTCTCGCACGTCTCCCCCCAGCCGAAGGCACTGGGCTTCTTCTGGCAGACATCAAAGGACAGCTTCCCGATGAGCTGCGCAGCCCAGGCCTTCTGTGCCAGGTTGATGGAATTCTTGAGCACCTTGCCCTTCTGCGATTTCCGATTCTGCCGAGGGGTTGGCGTCGTCGCCCTGCCTTCGGACTTCCTGGGTTTAGGGGATTTCTCAGCCCTCAAGAATGCTAAAGGGTTTCCACACAGGGCACACACCTCCTTCTTGCTCGGCTTGCGAGTCGCTTGCAAGCTGGGCCCATACGCGGCGGCAAGAACTCCGAACGATTGCGTCTCATTGTTCTGATCCTGGCCCTCCTCGTCGCTCCAGGCCTCGTATGCCAGCGGGGGCGAAGGACCGTTGAAGTGATCCTCAAGGGCGCTCCATGCCGCGTCTGCAGCGAATCCAGCCGCTGCGTTTCGAAGGAAGAGGCGCTTCCTTTGGCTCTCCAGCCTCTTCCCTTGCTCAGAGTTGGCCACCTTGAGAACATCTCGGAGCCACCGGAGCTTGCTCTTGCGCTTCGGGGTGTTCGGGGTGCGCATGCGCATCCGAGATATCCGAGTCACGGGCCGGTCTCTCCTAGGGGGCCCTTCTCGGGCGAAGTGAAGCATGCCGCCGTGAAAGATGCATTCCAGCGCGCGTTTGATCGTGTAGGGAGTCGGATGATCAAAAATCTTCTGGGGATCCTTCAAGTCCAACGGGTTCCCAACCGAGTCCCTCGCGTCGTGCGCACGTTCCCAGATACTCCTGCCGTTGTCATCATTGCCACTGAAAATCACAAAGATCATCGGCCCCCGGAAGCCCATTCTCACCCAAGTCAGCTCCTCCCAGCAGTTTGCGCTCGAGAGCCAGAACTTGTCGATCCTAAACACCATGTACGTGACCTGGGCGATCATCGCCTTGTAGTACCGCTTCCAGAGCACGTTGCGCGCCACGTCCACTTTGTCCTTGCTCCTAAACAGCCGATACGAGCCGTCAAGGTCAGGCAGCACCTTGGCATCGATGTAGGGCCAAAGCCTGTTGGCGCTTTGTGTTCGGATTTCTTCAGCATAGTCGCATGCGCGCCGGAAGCCCGAGCCTCTTTCAATTTCGAGCACGGCGTTGCTCCCAGAGCCGAAGCTGATCAACGTGTTGTAGTGCTTCAGCTCATTGAGCGCGTCAGCCACCCCGGCAGCCAAATCGATCGACCCGATGTACCCAAAGAATACTTCCGCCTCGCTGTCCGTCTCGAACCATGCAGGCAAGCAACGGCCCGGCCCCTTGCCTTCTCTTGATCGGGTGGCAACAGCATGCTTCGGCATCAGATGCATACGGAACGGGTACATCTTCCACAAGTCCTCCGTACCTTGGTAGCCCTTTTGGAGTTGGCTACTTGAGAAGGGAACCTTGAAGCACAAAATGTGGCGAAAAGGGTACCACTGGGCTACCTAGGCACACTCTACTGGCACCAGTGCCGGGTCAGGTGCTCGTGCCCCGAGGTCGGCCCCCAGAGCCTGGGGACTCCTTGTTCTGGCGCCCACCACTGGCAGGGCCAAAGGAAAGCAAAAGGCCAGAAGGAGCAAGCGCTTCATGTCTTCTACGGGGCCGCCTTAGCTAAGGTCCTTTATATGGAGCCCAAACGCTAGCGCGCGGCGTATCACGATCTGCCTGCAAGTGTGGATCTCCCTTTGCCAAAATGCTTCCTTCGGACCGCTAGGGGAGGTTGGGCGGGAGTTGGGCCGGTTACTTCGGCCCAAAGCCCATGACGCGGACTGCCCTGCTGCGCACAGTACGGCGCGAAGAGAGGAGGCGCCCAAGCACGCCATGTTGTGACTCTGACGAGGCAGGCAATAGAAGCACCATCACTGAAGCGGCACCTGCAAATTTGTCAGTCCAGACCCTCCATCTTCATGCAACATGTGGTACGACTGTCGCATGGTATCCCTGAGCTGACTTCACAGAGCATGGTACGGAGGCCAAGCCGCGAGCAAGTTCCTAAGGCTTCAGCAGCTGCGAACCCAAAGGCACTCGCGAACGAGGAGGAGAACGGTCTGAAGTCCGGATGCACGCGCAGCTGCCGGGAGGCATATCAGGGCTGCTGCGACCGTACATCCTGACCGACGAACACAATGTGCCGCAGAATCGGTAACACGGCAGAAAGAATCCTCCGATGGTCGCAGCTTGATCCACAAAATCGGGAAGAATGGAAAACTATGGAAAACTTTTGACTCTTGACCTATGATATCCTAGATGTAGATGGTGCCGTGTGTATATTAGCACAGCTCGTACATTCGACGAGATCAGCCATGTGCGCTCAGCGAGCACTGCAAAGAAAAACGAGGACGAATCGCTCCTTCGCCATCAGCGATGTGTGAGGCCTTCGATTGGGCAGCTGGGATCTTCTGCCAATCTGCAACACCCCGTCAGCATGAGCATTGCAATATCGAACGCCGTGGGATTGATAAGACGGGCAGCCTCAAAGGGGCGGTGAAGGAAATGGGGTTTCTCAGAGAGCCCGATTCGGCTTCATTATGCCAGTGTGGACCAAACAGTGAGAGACCACGCGGAGATGTAAAAAGCATTCCAAGGGTCCTCCAGAACCCTCCAGTCACACATCACTGGCGTTCCAAATGTCCTCCGCGTACTATGTTTGTACTACAGAAGCCGAATTTCGAGCAACTGGACCTCCAGACGTCCTCAGCGTACTAGGTTTGTACTACAAAAACCGACTTTAACCCTCGGTGTACTACGTTTGTGAACATGTCGCCGCGACAGCTGTTGAACAATTCTTGCGCACACAAGATGGTGACAAACCGAGTGCGTTTAGGCATTTTCGGCCGGCATCTCCCACGCCGGCATGCGTGGCAGCACCTGCCCAGCACTCCGCTGTAGACGTGTGACAAGCGCGTTGAAGTGGGAATGATGGACGCGGCAGCGTCTGCACACGGAGGCTCGCCTGACATGCGGCAAAGCGTTTCTCAGCGGACGCTTCAGTTTACTCGCTTGGGGCAATCTGAGCAGCCCTGAAGTCGCGCAGCGCCCGGAGCCCATACTTAAGCGACTTAACCGAAGGGGTATGCAGGCAAGGTAGAAATTCGTCTCATCGGATGAGGAGAAATCCCTCAAACTTACCGAGCTCGACAGTCGGCCGGCTTTTGTCACCTTTGCGGTGGGATCCCCTCATCTGGACACATGAGGCAAGCTGGGGCAGCACATCGGTTGCCCCGGCAAGTCTGCACACAATCGCACCCCGGTGATTGTGCTCTCTAGGCCCCGTCACCCGGAGCACCCACATGTGTCTTCCACACATCTGGAGCAACATGTCCAATGGTGTCTGCTTCCAGGGTAAGCTTGAAGTAGATCCAGTCGTCTGTACAATCCCAGACACCGATGGCACTCCGATCAGGCCCCGAGCAAGGCTCGCTTCGCCGGGTGGATCAAGCCACCTGACTCCTTCAGGTTTTCAAGAAACTCGGTACCCTCCTTAGCCGTGTCCTCTCCCCCTCCACACTCACACACACAACACATACATAGATGCACATGCCTACACACACATATATCTACACAAACACTGTCGAACATGGCGGGGGTAGCTTCGGGCCCCATTTCTGTCGAAACGAGGTTGCCTTTAACATGGGGCAGAGGTGTCAGCCTCGGAACGCCCCAGACAGACAGGACTGCCCAGAGTCTAGAGGGTTTCGGGATGTTTCGGGTCTGTAGGACTGAAAGCAACACTATTTAGAGTACTTATAACTCCACTATAACTACCCAAGTACACCGCGGTGCCGGGCCTTTGCTCTCACTGCTCTTGGGGAGTGAGTCTTGGTTTCAGGGCATCATTCAAAAATGGTGCTTTAGGAATGCGACTGACAATAGACATGGTTCTGTATAGGGACTTCAATCTGCAACCCTGGGTCCTCCAAGGCTTTGAGGATGGCGGTGTGGCTCTTGCCGCCTGGATCGATGTGCATAGTTCGGTGTCTCAAGACTTTTCTAGTGCCGCTGGCTGGTTTGGAGCTGTGGTCATGTGGCAAAGGAGCGCCTTCTTTTGAGGAACGCCTTCACTCAAACCATGCCTGTAACAAGACCCTCAAACCCCGACGCCTGAACACTAAGTCCCTCAAGACGGGCCCTTTTAAGGGGGACCCCGAACTAGAACTACACATAAGAGCAGTCGAGAAGCTGTTCATCACATCTGGGCGGGCGGCAAGCTTCACGAGCTGGTCCTCTGTGTCTAAGGATGGGGGCAAAAAAACCAGGGTTTAGGGTTTAGGGTTTAGGGTTTCGGGTTTCGGGTTTGGGGTTTGGGGTTTGGGGTTTAGGGTTTTGGGTTTAGGGTTTAGGGTTTAGGGTTTAGGGTTCAGGACCCGACACAATTGGGGCTCCCCCCACCGCGCCCGGGGCTCTGGCCCTCCCGGGCCTCCCAGCTTCCTTGAAATGTCTGGAAGCTGCACTGAGGGAACATTCCTACGAACGACGGAAGCCCCCTGCCTTGGGACCCAAAACCCTGGACGGATGACGCAATTTGGAAGCAGGCAAGTTGGACTGAGTTCCGAAACCCCAAGAAGTAAATCCTGCCAGAAGCACGAGGAACCAAGTGGGTGTGGACTCAGATGCCTGATGCGAAACAAGAAGGGTTTGGGGTGCAGCGTGGCTGCACTCTCTAAGCACTCTCTAAGCCGACCAACCGCGAACACCCGACAAACCGCCCTAAGCCCGAAAAGCCCGAAAAACCCTACAAGCCCTACAAGCGCTACAAACCCTACAAACCCTACAAGCCCTACAAGCCCTACAAGCCCTACAAGTCCTAAACCTTAAGAACCCGGCTTGCAACGCCTTCCGGATCCGGGACTCCTGGTCACGCAGCTACCCCAAACCCTCACGGGAGTCATACTCTTTAAGAAGGTCGCACCCCTTGAAAGTTTCCCTTCATATACTCCTCCCAAACCCAAAACTCTAAGCCACTAAGCAAAGGAGATCTTGGACCCGGCCAGGGTCCTTCAAGCCTGCCTTCTCTGCCCTGGCGGCCACAGTCGGGGGAAGTTCCACAGCAGGCACCTCTCGGGAGCGCGATGCCGGAGGTTTGATTCGGGTTTAGGGTTTAGGGTCTAGGGTTTCGGGTTTAGGGTTAAGGGTTTAGGGTTAAGGGTTTAGGGTTTAGGGTTTAGGGTTTGGGGTTTAGGGTTTAGGGTTTCGGGTTTAGGGTTTAGGGTTTAGGGTTCAGGGGCTTTAGTGTTGATAGGCGTTTGGGGTTTCGGGTTTAGGGTTTATCAAGCTTAAGGTGTTGCGGAACTGGCTTGGCTTGAAGATTGTTCTCAGAGAATGGTTGCCCTAAGCTCTTGTGTTTTGCAGCAGGTTTTTTTTGGGCACTGCCTCTGCATCGCCCGCACTCCCAAGCCCTAAACTCTAAGCCCTACACCCCAAACCCTAACCCGAAACCCTAAACCCTAAACCCTAAGCCCCACACCCCAAAGCCCGAAACCGGAACACAACCACTCAGTCAACTTTGTGGCCTCCGGAGCCGACTTGCCGACCTGGCCGAGAGGGTTTGAAGTTCACGGTTCAGGGTTCAGGGTTCAGGGTTTAGCGTTTAGGGTTTAGGGTTTAGGGTTTAGGATTGAGGGTTCAGGGTTCAGGGTTCAGGGCTTAGGGTTTCGGGTTTAGGGTTTAGTTTCGGGTTTCGGGTTTAGGGTTTGCTCGGCACTGTCTCTGTGGGTTGAGGGTTTAGGGTTCATTCAGGGTTGATAGGGTACCTAGATGAGAGCAGGCCCTTGAGCTGCATGCTGATGTGCATGTTGCATTGAAAGTGTTGGCGGCGGCCGTCCCCTCGCGTTTCCCTGGCATCAATCGTCCCCAACCCACAGGCCTGCATGGACCCCTGGGGTCGAGGAGTTTTGGGTTTTGGGTTTAGGTTTCCGACCCATGCTCAGCGGGCCTTCTTCTTGGGTGATGCCTTGGCTTTGGGAGCTTTGCCACCTTCCTTGACCTTCTTCTCGGTGACCTTCTTCTCGGTTGCCTTCTTCTCCTTGACACCCAGAGCGCTCGACACCCCACAAGTAGTAAGGAATGGACTTCAAACCACACGGGGAGCCGTTAAGCCAGAAAAGTAATGTCTTGCTAGCGGCGGGCGTGCCTTCTTTGTCCGAAACCATGCGGTGGCCAACAAAATGCCAAACCAATAGGCCGATGAGCCGACAAGCAGATATGAGCGGGCAAACCAATGGAGCAATATACACCGATACCAGATGATACAGGCCGGCAGAAGGCGTCTTCTATCAGCATAAGTCGGTTTATCGGCTTAGGTTCTAAGTTATAAGTACAGTTATAAGTACAATTGCAATTGGTCAACAAGTGCCATGAACCTCCAAGTGGTATCGGGCTTAGCTTGATTTACTTTATCGAAGCTCTCCTTGGCATGCGCTTTGTCGGCCTGCTTTGCCCGCTCGGCCTCCTTCTGCTCCGGGGACAGCCGTGCCTTTTTGGCCTAAGCCAGGCACGGGAAGAGGGCGAACCCTAAACCCTACACCCTAAACCCTAAACCTTAAGCCCTAAACCCTGGCGTACTGGTAAAATTTCATTGAGGTTTGAGGGTTGCGGTTTAGAGTAAAGGCCTGAAATATCGAAACTTCCGACTTCTCATCAGATGCGCAAAGGAGGGGAACGACGCAAAAGGAAAACACGCATGCTGCTTGCGGATTGGTCGCCGGCTTGTCGGCCTCGTCATCGGCACTGGGAAGTGGCACGTAGGACTTCATGGCCTCTTCGTACTCGGCCTTCTTTGCCTCATAGTCCGCTTGGTAGATCTTCTTCTCGTCCTCGCCTAGAGCCTTCCATCTGTCGGAGGCCAGCTTGGTAATGGCCGTTACGGGCTGGCCTTTACACTCTTCTGTGAAGGCTGCCCGGTTCTTGGAAAGGAAACAGCCGAAGGCACCACCCGCAGGTTTCTTTGGCGCAGCCGGATCCTTCTTGCGTTTCGAGGACTTCTCTGCCTTCCTCTTGGTGCTCTTCTTCTCGCCGCCTGCTTCGAGGAATGCGGCCATATCTGCCTCGTACTTGGCCTTGGCTGCCTCGAACATCTTTTGGTACACGGCCTTCGTGTCCTCACTCAGCGTCTTGTAGCGGGCTCCAGCAAGCTTGGCGACCTCGGATGCTGGTTTCCCCGGGCCCACCTCTTTTTGCAACTCCGCCCGGTGCTCCGCCAGCCAGCAGCCAAAAGCTCCGCCCGCCGGCTTCTTGGGTTGCTCAGCCATGGCGGCAAGGAAGTGGGGCAAGGTCAAAACACTGGAGTGGGCACGCCTCCCTTGACCGCATAGAGCCCCGAATGACATCGGAGAGGGATTCAATACATGTCGCACTGATCCACCACAACGGGAATTCGAAGATTGTGTCCAACAGTGCTAACCTTCCAAGTATATATATATATATATATATGCTACCCCCTTTCCTCAGAACCCACCGTAAGCACAGTGTAAGGGGGCAGGGTGTTTCCCCGAAGGTTGCGATATAATCAGTTCCATATCTGACGGGCCACCCCTCCCAAATTATTTGAACACCAAGTTAAGCCGTTTGTACGCAAAGTTGTTCCAGTAGCTGACAAACAAGCCCTTGGCTGCAAGAGTTCCACTCAACATTAAAAAGCTTCCCTATGTTTATTCGTTTAAGGTTTAGGTACGGACCCTAAAGGTTTAGGCTTAAACCTATTCCGAAGCCTTAAATTTTCCCTCGCCACTAGAGAGATTGCACTTAACCTATTCGTTGACGGTTTAGGCTGACAACCTGTTCCAACACTTTGAAATTTTCCCTCGCTACTAAATATCCGCTAAAGCCCATTCCCACATATTCAACGAATATTGTCTAGGAGTAGCATAGCCTATTTCTTCAAGGTTTAGGCTGGCACCTAGTCCAGAATCTTTTGTTTTCCCTCGTCACTAAAGGCATTTCACAAATGCCCACACCCTATTCCCCAAAGACATTTACTAAAGCCCAAACCCTATTCCCATGCTTTCAACGAAAATTGTTTAGGAATATTCGTGCTTCCTATTCCTGAAAGCTCAAAATTTATGGAAGATTTAGGTTGAAACCTAGTCCATGACCTTACGTTTCCCTCGCCACTGAAGGCATTTCGCTAAAGCACAGACCCTTGTCCCTCAGCGATAAAGGCCAGACCATTATTCCCATACTTTCAACGAATATTGGTGGTCAGGCAGCCTATCTCTTGAAGGTGTAGGCTGAAGCCTAGTCCAAAACCTTCTGCTTCCCCGCGTCACCAGAGGCATTTCACTAAAGCCCAGACTATAATCCTTAAACACATTCTACTAAAGCCCCGACCCTATTCCCATACTTTCAACAGAAATTGTTTAGGCATACTCAGTCTTCCCATTCCTGTAAAACGTTTCCCTGGCAATTCGCTAAAGTCCAGACCCTATTCCCACACTTTCAACGTATATTGTTTAGGAATAATCCTGCTTCGGTGCCTGCGGGGTGTATCCTTCATGTTTGGGCCTAACTCCTCTCCTGTGAACCCTATTTGTTAAACATTCAGGCTGAAGCCTTGTCCAAAACCTTACACTAAGACCCTGCTTTTTTCAATGATTGTTGTTCAGGAATAATCATGCTTCGGTGCCTGCGGGGTGTCTCCTTAATGTTTCAGCCCTATCTAAACCTTTGTTCCTAAGCCAAAATTGTTTAGGGTTTAGGGGCAGGGGTAGGGTTTCGGGTTTAAATTTTGAGGTCCAGGGTTATTCTTGGTTCTTGGTTCGCGGACCCGGTTTTTTCTTAAAACGGGTCATTCCAACTATACGTATCAGAGTTTTCTGTGCTCATATTTATGTAGGAGTTATATAGCTATAGTACGAAACATGAAGTTCTTACTTTGAACAATAAACCAAGACAGCTGCCCTGAAGCAGACTGAATGACATGACTCAAGCTTGCCCCCCCACCCCCAAGAACTCATGGCGATGAGTTTCTTCCTTACGATGGTTTTGGGAAGCAATCCAACTCGGGGATTCTTGGTGCCCATGGTCTAGGCACCGTGTTAATTTAACACACCTGAAAGCAAGAACCAAGAACCAAGACTCCCTGAAAAGTCTTGGGACGAATCTTGGTTCCTTGGGGCTGGGCGCATGTTAATTGGAACGGGCCCCGTTTTTATTAAAACGCCTGGAACCAAGAACCAAGAACCAAGATTCTCAGAAAAGTCTTGGGACCAATCTTGGTTCCCCTTGGGGATGGGGGCGTGTTAATTACAACGGGCCCCGTTTTAATTAAAACGCCTGGAACCAAGAACCAAGAACCAAGATTCCCAGAAAAGTCTTGGGACGAATCTTGCTTCCCAGGGGTGGGGGCGTGCGAATTAACACGGGCCCCGTGTTAATTAACACGCCTGGAACCAAGAACCAAGAACCAAGATTCCCGGAAAAGTCTTGGGACGAATCTTGGTTCCCGAGGTAGAGGGCCGTGTGAATTGCCTGGCTCCTCAACCTGACGGACCCAGGTCTTGGGAACCAAGGTTCGTCCCAAGACTTTTCTGGGAATCTTGGTTCTTGGTTCTTGGTTCGAGGCGTTTTAATTAAAACGGGGCCCGTTTTAATTTTTTTCCCTCGGCCTTTTCCGACTGCAACACGGTGCCAGAGCTACGTTGGTCGAACTACTACCACAGCGGGCGGTCCCGGTTTAGGGGTTTTAATTAACACGCCCCCACTCCTTCGGAACCAAGATTCATCCCAAGACTTTTCTCGGAATCTTGTCTCTTGGTTCCAATTATAATTTTACACGAATTTCCCTATGTTTATCCGATTAAAGTTTAGACACAGACCCTATTCCCAAATACTTCCAAACGAGTTATGTTCAGGAATAGCAATGCTGCGGGTGCCTGCGGGGTGTACCCTGAGTTTAGCCCTATTCATGTAAACCCTATTTGTTGAAGATTGGCGCTTAAACCTATTCCAAAGCCTTACGTTTTCCCTCGCCACTCGAGAAATTTCCTTGACTTGACACTATTCGTTGACGGTTTAGGCTGACACCCTCTTCCAAAACCTTGAAACTGAGATTCTCCCTCGCCACCGAAGAAATTCCGCTAAAGCCCAGACCCCATTCCCCTACTTTCAACGAATATTGAGGAATAGTCGGCTAGTTTCCCTCGTCACACCAGACCCTGTTCCCTAAAGGAATTTTACTAAGACCCAGAGCCTAATCCCATACTCTTAGCGTGTATTGTTCAGGGCGAATCATGTTTCCTATTCCTGTAAACCCTTATAATCTAATGTGATCCACCGAATGACCCTATTCCCATACTGTCAACGAATATTATTTAAGAATGGGCATGCGTCTATTTCTTGAAGGTTTAGGTTCCAAAACCTTATGCTTTCCCTCGTCAATAAAGGCATTTCGCTAAAGCCCAGACCCTATTTGCAACAAAGTTTTTTCTAAAGCCCGGATCCCGTTCCCCTACTTTGATCGTGTATTGTTGAGGAATAGTCGTCCTTCCTATTCCTGGAAGCTCTTTACTGTATTGAAGATTGAGGCTGAAACCTAGTCCATGACCTTACGTTTTCCCTCGCCACTGAAAGCATTTCGCAAGAGCCCAGACCCTTTTCCCGAAAGAAACTTTACTAAAGCCCAGACCCCCATACTTTCAACGAACCATTTGTTTAGGAATAAACATGTTTTTGCTTCGGCGCCTGCGGGAAGTATCGTTAATGTTTACGCCGAGGCCCCATTCCTGTGAATGTTTTAGCCCTATCTAAACCTTTGTTCCTAAAGCCTTTAGGGTTTTGGGTTCCCGTACTTAAATGGGTTATTTGAAAAATATTTGTATGAGAGGTTTACGTGTCCATATTTATGTAGGGTTCAGGAAGTGAGTACTTAGGATTTTAAAGCTTTCCCAGGGATCCCACTCTTTAGGAATGAGCGATTCCACCTGAATCGGCCCGATTCAACCTGAATCGCCCCCCGGAACCAAGAGCCAAAAACCAAGATCCCCGAAAAAAGTTTGTCTGGGAATCTTAGCTCTTTGTTTCCGGGGCCCGGGGCCCGATTCAACCTGAATCAAGAACCGGTCGGTCGTCCATAAACTCAGTACATTTACCATGCGCATCCACGGGCGGTCCATGTCTTCGTTTTACTTTCTTCGCTTGGTTTTCATGCGTCCTTTCACTCCTTCTTAAACCAGTCTCATAAAGACAACTTACGACATCTCCCCCGATTATCAGGATTCTTTGTTACCTTTAGGATTCCCGCCACACACTACGTTCATAATTTCGCTTAAATTCGCGCGGCTCTTTCGTTTCTTGCAAAAAACACGCTCATTTTATTCACTTCGTAATAATATAATAATACGTGCGGGCTAATATTATGAGAGGTTTAGGCTACGGTTTGGGGGTTTAGGGTGTTGCGGGTTTAGGGTTTCGGACGGATTTAAGCTTTAGGTCCGGGTTCACAGGGTCTAAGTCAAGGTGCTTGAGCTCAGCCTCCAACCCTGAAGCCTATGACCATAAACCCTAAACTCTGAGGGCCATGATCCCTCGACGTGCCCCCTTAATTGGGCAACCCGAATGTGCCCGTTATAAACCCTACAAAGCCCAAGGGCCCATACTTCAAAACCCTTTAAAGGAGGTAAGGGACCAAATTAAGGGACCATGGAACTTCCCTTAAACCCTGTAACCTAGACCGTACCGGCTTAATTTTAGATGTCGGGCTGTGGTACATGGATCCTTCATGATCCTTCACTCTCCCATCTTTCGAAAACGTGTCCAAAGACTTCTTCTCCAAATTCCAAGCTGGCTGGGAATGGGTGTAGGCGTCTAGGCTCAGGGTAAGGCTTACGCACCTCAGCCCTAAACCCTAAGTTAAGAAAAACCCTAAACCTTAGACTGTCTGCATAGTGAGCTCTAAAAATCACGGGCGCCGCGAATCTTTGCAGCCTCAATGAACTCAGCCCCCGCGGCCGTCAGCGGGCGCATGTACGCATCGATGAACCAGCGCACCCTCTCATTTGGGAACGTCGCCTCCATGACCCAAAACTCCTCGCCGTGCGCGGGCATGAGCTTGAAGCCGCAGTCCTGGTACCAAGATGGGCTAGAATACCCTATATAATCCCTTAAAAGGCCCTTTACAAGACCCTAAACCCCAAACCCTAATCGCCCATCCTGGTAGAGCTTCGCCGCGATCTCCATACCATAGTGGTCAGTTAACAGGTACAGCACGTCGTGGCCCTGGCGCCTTGCCTCAGCAATGGCCGTCTCCACGAGCTGCCTCCCCACACCTCTCCCCTGAAAGGACTCTTGCACATAGAGCCTCCGAAGCTCGGCGATGCGAAGATCGTGGCAGTCTGGTTGTGAGAGAGCGTCCGAATGCAAGCCCACAAGGCCTACGACGTGGCCCCCATGCTTTGCAACCCACCACATGGCTCCTTTGTCTGTCTCCTCCTGCCAGGCAGTTCTCTTCGCCCAAGCCAGAAATTGTTTTTTCACCATGGCCTTACAGTCCCTACCCCACCCCTGCGACTCGCCAACGCGATCGACAAAGGCCACATGCTCAGAGATGGCGCTCAGGAAAAAGCCTGGGACAACCGAGCTTTTTTCGGCTTCAAGCAACTCTATCAACACGGCTGGGTTTTTTGTGCGCCTTGTCGGTGGCGAATCTTCCGCAGACACCTTGCTTTGTGTGGACCAGCCACTGCCAGACGCACCCATGAGGACGAGCCCCACGACTGGAATCAAATTTGGGACCGCCTTGCCGTTGCAGGTTCTGCTGGCGAGGTGTAACAAGCGACATGCGTTCGGAAGTGTCCACCGCACCAATGAAGCGGCCCGCCGCATGGCCGCAGCACTGACGTTCGGCTCTTACTTGGAGGTTAAGTAAAAAAATAGGTATAACCCACTTACAAGCCCCTCAAGTTCCCTAATAGGGTTCGAATTGGGATATAAGTACAGTTACTGTAGGGTTACTGAGTACCATGAGCCTCCACGCTCTAAGAATTGCCGGTCGTGGCATAGTTCAGCTACGGTTGCCCAATTGCTTTCAAAGGGGCTTATAAGGAAACCTAAATGGAATATGGGCACTACTGGGTATCCTAGTTACATGGCTGCAAGTCTCGCGTGACATTGGCGTTGGGTCTTGCAACAGTGGCACCCCATGAGCTGTGGAAACCAAGGGGCTTGAACCAAACCACCTGCATCAACCCTAAACCCTAGACCATCCCTAAACCCCTAACCCTATAAACCCTTGCGCCACTGTGGTGCGCGACAGGACCTGCTGCGGCACAACCCGACCCGTGCGGGGGCAGGCGGGTGGTGGTCTCCATATGCATCGACCTTACCCCCACAACCATATCGGTCTTCCGCGCCACAGCGCAAGTCCGGGAGGGGCAGGCGCAATCGAAGGCGTCGCCGCATTGCGACGTGCATGAGCGGCATCATGCGGCATCCGAAGATATCGCGGCGAGCCACATACCGGCATGCGGACCGGATTGAGAGTGGAGGAGGGTTCGAGCGGCAGGAGCCAAGGCCAGCGCCTCGAGCGCTTACCGGTCGGGTCTGCTCGCGGCTGCGCGTAGGCAAGGTGACGACGTTACGCCTGCGATCTCGCGCACGAGCCCGTCACTCAGGTAAATAGAATGTCGCCGTGTTACACTGCACAGGTTCACGTTGGGAATGGTCTCCCCGCAACGTAGTGCACGCACAGAACGAAGTCAGGTCCATGCTTGATTGCATAAATCGATTGCTGACGGTTTCCCCGAAAGTACTGCTCCAAATGAAACGTGGGCTCCAAACCAAGTACGCTCTTGTAAACTAGTGTGAATTTCAAACAATATTACACACACAACTGTAACGACGTCTTCACGCGTGACCTACACGCAAAATCAATCCAGTCACGCCATCGTTTGATGCGAATTTTCCAACCTTATCCAACCTTCCAATTCTTGAAGCGACGTGCCGCAACCACGCGCTTTCCGGCATGAAATGCCGTGTCGTGACATGGCGCGCGACAATGCAATGGCATGACACAAGACCGCAAGTAGATGCCCTTCGGCTAAGCTGGCTTTCCCACACCATCCCTTCAGCACGGAATGCTTGGACTGTCCTGCACAAAGAGTCACATTAGCCTCCGCAAAGACCAAAAACGAAATTAGTTACGAATCCCAAAAGAAACGAATGTTGGCCGGCAAAAGATGCAGACTGATCTTAACTGTGCATCGTCCTTGGCCCAACGCCAAAAAGGGAACCCAGCAAAACCTGAATGCCAGGTCCAGGGCTCGTGCTGGCCCAGCCATCATAACAATGCAAAGCATGGAATAGGCAGTAAACTAGCACATGTTAGCAAAACAGCTTCGTTAGGGGACGCGAACGCCCCTTGGGTCGCTTTCGAACCCGAGAAGTTTCACGTGAAGCCTCACGAAATTCATCGAGTAAACAGTGTTTTCCTTCCCTCATTTTTTTGGCCCGCTGTTTCACAGTCCACATGCTAAACTGGAAGTCCCGGCACAGGATGGGGGTGCGGAGGACGAAGGTCCAGAGCGCTTCAAATCGTTACAACCACGGAGAGGCAGGCGGCTTGGGAAGTGGGGATCAGCCGCTGAAGCGGTGCAAATGTTCGACTCAATCGGTTTCCCATGAACATTGACCACATAGACGAGGGCCGGTACAGGGCGGCCGCTTCGTCCAACAGCCGCCAAGTTACGTCAGTTTTCGGCGAGACGAAATACACTACATGTCTTCTGAACAAATTAACGTTAGTGCTCCCGAATCCAACAATGATATTACATGAATGCCAAGCCAAAAAAAAACAAGTCCCACGTCAACAACCAAGCTTTGCACGAGGGGCAGCATTCTAGGCAGGGATTCGAGCAGCAGTTCTCCCAGTTCCCCGATGTGGTACTGCTCGCCCGTCCTACCCATATCTTGCTCGTGAACCCCTCACCTGATGTGCTGCTGATGTGGAATTTTGCTGGCATGCCTTGGTGGCGATGGAGACGCAGAAGGGCAAGTCACATGCAGGTGGGGTACGCCCGCAACCTCGCTGGCCACAGACTCGCGCCGGCAGTTAATTCGGGCGACCCCTATGGCAGATTGTGCGAGTCCGTCCTCCGGGTTGCGCGGTTGGGCTGCGTCACCGCGCTTGACTACAAGGGCGATGGCATCGCGAATTTGCCGTGCTGAAACCGCCCGCTGCTGCTAACCGAGGCCTGGGACGCGGGCCCACGGCCGGACGCGGTCACACAGTGCTTGGCACTGACTGAATGCCAACTTCACGCGTCGCGCACCCGCAACTCCTACTACAGTGATCTCGTGGACTGCTGCCGTTCACGCCGCCCGCCCTTGCCCAACAACATTTACCGTTGCGGCTCTCAGACATTGCGGGACGGTGGATGTGGTGACCACGCCATGGCATGCTCGCGCACAGGACCATCTTGGCGCGGCGAGCCGAAGTGGTGGAGAAGGTGCGGGCAGTATAAGTATTAATTTCCATCAGTAAAAACAATGCAGTGGTGCCGCCGGAGTTCTACTCGTTAAAGTTGGTTTGGGGGTTGCGTTTATTTGTTATATTTTCTCGCGCCTCTTTTTCGCCTGCCAAGTTGCAATATCGGGTCCGCCGCCCTCACGAGCGAAGACCCTTTACATCCCTTTACGGCCAGTGGCAGCATTGTCGCTGCTGGCTAGGGTTGCTGGCTGCCGACAGCGACATGGCCCATTGCACTGCGACGGAAAAGTCTACACCAACGACGAGCCCACGCTGTTGCCGCCGCGCTGCGCATCGCAGCCAACGCCCCCGGACGAGGCCCGCCTCGTCATAGTCGTTTACGGCGTCACCCCCTTGGGTTGTGCGTTGCGAGGCTGGCATCCCAATGTCCCGCGATGGGCAGCCGCAAGGCTCGAACGGGGCAGCGCTGGCCACCGCTGAGTGACGCAAGCAGGACACATACCCGGAGCATCCCGGAGCTGCAGCGACTCGTGGCCCTCGGCGTCGCCTTCGGGGGCCGCTGGAGCGAGCCGGCCATGAATTTGGTGCGCAAGACGGAGGACCCCTCGGGCGCCACTCCCGGGACAGTAGTGTGCGTCAGCCACCGCTGTGGGACGACCTTCCCCTCCGCTTCCCGGGCGACGCCGACCCACGCGTGCTCTACGAGCTTCGTCTGGCGTGCAATCAGCCATAAGCAGCCTCCAGTGCGTGGGCGCGCGACTGCGTAGTCATTCAAGCCCCTAGGTTTGTTCGACTGCTCTGCCGAACTCGAAAGCGGGGGCTGGATGCAGCCGGAGCCTACAGCAAGCCTCGGATACGCAAGCTCTGCTACAGACGGAGGGCTGGCTCAAGCAAGTGCCCTCTGGGGCACGGCTGCTATAAGGGCAAGAGGCCCGTGCTCTGACAAAGATCTGGGGAACATGATGGAACCAGCTGCTTAAGGCTTACTCCGGTCACAACCGGGTCCTCATGCTGGAGCGTGGCTGGCGGCCGTCCTTTCAGACGACGGCCACTCTCTAGGCGATACAGACATATGCAGATCGCTTTGCGCCGACGCCTGCGGCTGGCCCTGCCGTTGGCCGCAAGCATCTGCGGGGGAGCTAGTATGCTGCAGCACTGGCGCCTGGCTCGACGGCTTCGTCGATGCATCCCAAACAGCGGCATCGTGGGCTGCCGCATATCCGGCCACTTCCCGGGGCGGCACCGTGCGGAGCACGTGATTGGAGCGGTCCGGGAAGGTGAGGAGTGATTGGACGCACGCGCTGTCGCAAAGCAGTGGTCCCCGACGTTCGATGCACCCATGCCTTGGCAACGTCGCTCTGGCGACGCCGTCGTCGTCTCTTTAAACGGCCGGGCGGCCTACGACACGATCCGTGGTCTGTATATGGCCGCCCGTCGACAGACTACTGGTGGGACTTGGGCCCGGACTCGTGCAGAAAGGTGGTCCAAGGAAAGGCCTGTGAACAAGAGGACCCTCTCGCCCCAGCGCTGTACCTGCGGCGCCGCGCTCTTCGGGCGGTTCGTCCCCGCGCCACACGTGAACTCGAGCGGTGCCGGCGCGCTAAACGAGCCGAAGATCCGTGGCTTGCCGTGATTCGACGCGCCGGCGTCAACCTGGCACGTGACGATGTCCCGCGCCTCCCGCGCCCGGTGTAATGTGGAAAGCCAGACATGCGAACACCTCGTTCGTCATGCATGCCGATACTGGGATCTACCCCATGGGGATGTGATCGCGAAGATGCAGGCGTGGATGCATGTTGACCGAGTTTCGCGGCGGTACGGCCGCGTGGGTGGGTCAGACGATGAACGCACGGGCGGAGTGAGGCCCCGCCTGCGACAGCAGCAGCGCGCGGGACGCGGGCGGTAAGTCAGCAAGAAGCCGGCGTTCAGGTCACCCTTTCAAAAGCGGCCGCTGAATACAATGGGGATTGACGCCAAACCACTTCATACTCACACACGATTTGCATGCATGCGCCACAAGCCGATGCGGCATGTTGCCGGAGCACAGGTATGCTGCCACTCTTCTGCAGGCTCGTGGAAGATCTGGCCATGCCCTGGTTTTCCTTGCGCTTACAACAGGCTGTTCGCAGTGATGGCTGCGAGGCATCAGGCTTCGGCGGCAATGTCGCCTGGCCTTCAGCTTCGGCGGTATAAAATGTCTCGGTGAGGGTCACTCGTGTCGCGGTTCCAAAACTGCATACATGACAACCACTTATTTTGGTATTTTGTAATCAGCTTTAAGGAGCTTCTAACCGCGATCCCATTTTTTGTTTGCATTCCGGGCTCAAAAATGTGGCGCAGTAACGTTCAAGCTATTGGACTCACTTTGCAAAGGACTGGCGGAAGACATGAGCTCTTG